AAGTGTGGATTGTGCTTGGAGCAAAGTGCAAAATACTCTAAAGCACTATCGAGGCTGAGAAGTCAGTAGAGAAAGCTGGGTGGACTGAGATAGAGCTGTGGCTGACCTACTGCTTTTTCCCTGGCTGTATGACCAGCACCTAGCACAGTGTGTATCCTTTCCTGGCCAGCAACTCTTTGAATTTTGCTTTCCTGGAGCGTTTGTACCAGGCCAGCTTGAATGCACTGGTGTGCATGGGATGGGAACATAAACAGAGGCTGAAACCAACTTTTTGAAAAAGGGCATTGTAGAAGAAAAAAGCTGTATTTGCTGAGAGCTGAACTGTAACTCTACATTTAGGCAAGTGTTTTAAAGCAGTCACAGTGTTATTCTATGTTACTTGATGACCACTTTGTTATAGGGTGGACTTTGCCAATAATATTAGCACATGTTGTGCAGTTCTGGATGCTGGCTTAATCTCAAAGGAAACTAATCCATTTCAAGAAGCAAAGTGTTGCTTTCATTGTATGCTCCAAATCATCACTTTTCCTTTTCTCAGTGTGAGAATCTGAGCCTGCCACTGTGTAATTTAAGTGACTAAGATCGCTTTCACTGTTGTCAGCAGTTCCAGTTTTCATCAAACAGTTACTTTTTGGTGTGGGAAATTTAGTATTCACATTGTCATGCTGGGTGCAAACTTCCATGCTAAAATACAGCTTAATGTAGCAAAAGTGTGTTCCAGCTGTCCCGCAAGTAGTTTCTGCACCACTCTAGACTGTCCAATACAGGGAATGGAAAGGGCATGCACAGATAGAGTCAGCCTGTAAATGGGAGGAAAATATCAAGAATTGAGTTTGCAGGATCCAGTAGAGCGCACACAGGGACTGGCATAGTTTCTTTTTCCTGATCTCACTCTGGCTTGGACACAGTCGCTTATTGATGATTCTTTATGGAGGGATGAATTGCATCCTGTACACATAGTGAGGAATTTGGGACAGTAATGCAATCAGAGATCTGCCCATTATTTTCTTGCTTCTCACACAATTATTCTAACCATGACATTGCTAGTCTGCAAGTGGCAACTGCAGAAAGTACTGGAAATTTGTGTGTATCTGAGCAGGAGAGGTCTTCCCTTCTTCATTATTAATTTACTACCAAAGAAAACAGGACAAAAGCAGTTATTAGTGACATTTCCCTGCCAGTGATGGCATTATCTCACCATCCTCCAGACAAATGTCACAGATGTCAGATTGCTTCTGCTTAGCAGAGGCAGCCCTCTTGAGTCAGAGATTCAGGTCCTTGTCAGGAACAGCAGGCACTATCAAATGGGAGGTGGGTGGAAATTTATGAAAATGTTGGAAAGAGACAGAGGGCTGATCAGTCCAGGCTGCCAGGGTGTTTGAGCATGTAGGATCCCTGATCACCCCACTGTATTCATAGAAAGTGATGCTGCAGTGACTATCATACAAATGTCTCCATTGGAGAGAAATTGCAGTGCAAGCAATTTCTGATGGGAGCCAGACTTTAGTTCACCTGGCACAACAATGTGTGAAATTGAGCATTTTAATTAATGGAGCTAAAAAACTGACAGAAAACACACAAAATGTTTGCCAGTAATCAGAGGTGGATCCTAGTGAGGACTTGTCACCTTCCTGGGCTGGCAGTGACTGGCGAGGGTGTTGTTCTCTGTAGAACTGCAGCTGCTCACTCTTCCCAGCTCCATGCAGGGATGCAGCGGTGCTCTCCTGCCTGTCAGTACCGTCAGGTCCAGGGGAGAGACTCTACAAGAGGCAGGTCATGGTATCCTAAAAGCTTCAACAAAGCTGTTTCTCATCAGGGCAAGCTAATGGCAAAATGCATCAGACCAAAATACTCCAGCATCAGCATGGGCAGGGCAAGTGATCAGCTCTACCCTGGGCTATGGTGAACATGCACCTCGTGGGGCAGACATTGCTGCTCTCAGTTGCTTTCCTTGTTCTCTGGACAAACCCAGGGGAAGTTCACATATTGTGGAGTGCAAAAACAACAATTCAGCAAGTTTTTTCTCTGCACTAATCCTATCACTTTTTCCAGGCAAGCATCTCCCAGGCTATGGTTAGTGGAGTATTTCTAGGTGGGTGTATGCGAGAGCAGAGTTTGACCCGTGATTCTTAAGTCAGCCTCAAATGGGAATCTGGAGGAGGAGGAGGACAAATGGAGACAACACTTCAACTTTCCTTTGGAAAATTTACTTTTTCATAGAGGATATTTTCTCTGCTCCTTCCCTCCTTCCTTCTTCCCCTCTTTCCCTCCCTCCCCCCCTCTCTTTCTCTCTCTTATTTACGTAACTGAATTTGTTGTTACACAAAAGTTGAGCTCTGTTTGGAAAGGGACACTTGGCAAACATACCTGATTACATTGAACTCAAAAGAGGTGACTCACAGGCTTAAGATATTTCCAGGAATCAAATGCAAGGTAGAAAAATGATATGATGCTTCTTATACCATAGAATAAAAGAGTAACCTTTCTGCCTGAGGGCACTTTTAGAAAACCAGATAAAACCTGAAGTCAGAAACATTTAAATCAAAAACTCTGGCTCGAGGTTTCCTTCCATTTTCTGTGCTGTAGTTTCTGAGGAAAAGACTAGATTCTGAGAATCAATTCACTTCCAGCCACAGAGATATTTGAAGCTTATATTAAGTTAGCCAAAATGCTTCCTCCACACCCCTGCTGGAGAGGTCCCTAAAGGTCTGAATCCTTGTGGGAGGCAGGCTTAAGCAGATGAATTAGGATGACTGAAAATAGTCATTGGTAGGACTTGCCAACGAATGTATGAATATTAAAACAGTGAGCCCAAGACCTGAGGAAATACTCTTCCTGAAGTGCAATGCTTTCTAAGGGATTTTTAGCCCTAGAGGTGCTGTGCTCATGGATGCAGCCATAATACTGCTGACCACATTGTTTGCAGTGACCTGAGCCCTGGGCTGCCCTTGCTGAGGGCACAGCTCCCCAGTTCAGCAGAGCACGGTGGGGAGACTTGTAGGGAAGGAGAGATCTGTTGGGAAGGGGAGGCATACATCTCCCTACATTTCCACCCCCACTCCAGCATGAGGCTGGGTGTACCAGTCTGGCTGTGCTTCACTGGACAAGACGAAGGGAGCATTTCTCTCGTCCCCTCCAGTACGGCCAAACTACCAGCAAGCCCCTACTCCTCCACAATGACTGGGGACAGACTGCTTAATGCCCCATTTAAATATATTTCATTTCCCTTGGTTGTTCTAACAGCGGTACTACACATGGGCATGCTGGGATGGCAAGAGCTGCTCTGTTGTTACAGTGACATTTGAGAAAAGTTGAAGAAACTGGCTCAATTGCTAAGCATTCTTTCTGCTTCTGGGAAGACTTAAATAAATAAATAAATCATTTGAAATCACCCACTCATCAAAGAAAGAACAATTCATATTTGCAGATCTTTGTGGTGGGGAAAGATTTTATAGCAAATGCATGAAACGTCATTACAACTGATGCTTTCCTGCTAGGACTCAAAACTAAAAATAATTTACAACCTACAACGCATCCTGTTGACAGAGAAGACAATTTTTAATCCTTTGTATTTCTATTTTGGAACAATTATAGAACCTTACATTTGAGAGGATGATGTGACTGTTTTTCATATGGAAACACCATTTAATTAAGATTTAAACAGATGGCTAACAGGAATGGTATTGTAGGCTTCATCAAAGTAAAATCTAAAGGGCACAATAATATTTCCACTTCAAAGTGGCTTGTTTTGATTCCTACCAATAAATAAATTAATTTCACATGTCAGAGAAAAACATTTTCTCTGTACAATTAATGTTTTGCTTCTTGTGTAGTGAAGTGTAGATCACAAAACAGGTACCCTTTGTACCCCCAAAGCAGATAAATACCTACCAATTGAGCAAATATGCAATACTTGAAATCTAGCAATAACGACAAAAAAAGAACAACAGCAAAAAAATCTATTTCTCATAACTGGGAAAAATCTCTGCCTGGTAAGAGTGGGCTTGCAGGAAGCACACCCTCCTCTCTGCAAACACAAACGATGCCTTCTTGCCCCATTGCCTCCTGCCATCAGCGTGCCCAAGCCAGTTTAGAGATTGCTCAGCAAAGCAAAGAGGACACTTATGAGATAAGGAAAATGAGAGCAGCAGTGCTCTTATCTCCCTTTATTCAGGGAAGCAAAGGAAACTTGGTGGTTTAACCTAAGTATGGGACTGCAAATGTATAAACAGAAGTCAAACAAGGAAGCATCTGTCATCTGTACCATGTGCTGTGCTGTGCACCCACTCTTTGCACTTACCTGCTTGCAGAAAACCCGTAGAAGGAGAAAAGTGAGTGCAGCATCTTTTTGTAGTTGGGACTCATGTATTTTTCCTCTACAGCACAACTCAGCTGAAAAGGCAGCATCATGAAACCTGCATTAAATGTTTCACATTGAAAAAAGAGAAAGCACCATATCTAAATCAAATTGAAATGAATTTTCTGGAACTTCTTAGTGCAAAGCATTTTTTTGATAAGAAAACTTGCCTATCGAAAAGGAGAGGCTGTGCTGGCCCTGCAGCTCACCTCCAGAAGGTGAGAGCAGTCCTGCTGAGATAAGTGCCCTATTTCTGGGCATGGCTCGGCAGCAAGTCCGACTGCAGCCCCAAGAGAAGATTCTAGAAAGCAAAGGTCAAGCAGATAAAGCAGCAGTTTCAGAGCCGTCACTCTCTCCAGTCTATCTGTCACTGTGTTCTTCGTGGTCACATGCAGGTCAAGCACAAACTTGAGTTCAAAATTCACTCTGCTCCAGCAGGAATGCATTGGGCATTAGTTTCATCCAAAATAGCTAAAATTTAGTTTCCTTGGTAGCCTGCAGGAAGAAATCAGCTCTGCTGGTGGGTCTTTCTGCCCACACATTTCTCCCCGTTAACTTCCAAGGGAGTCTGAACAATTCAGCCTATCCCAAAGCCCTGGTGCACCCTGGCCTCTCGCCAGTATTTTTTTTTTTTTTTTTGCAGACCCCCACAAGTGGAGCTGCTTGTCCAAAAGATGTTGTTGTCCATAGATACCCCATGAGTAGCTGAGGAACCTGTGGATCAACAGCAGAGCTGGGAACGTGAGCTAAATCTGAGGCTCTTCAGGGATATACTCTGTGAAATATAACAATAGAGGTAAGTATCACTTGAGACATCCCATTTATAATTAGCAGTTTGCTAAAGACAGGAAGGTTTTCCCTGTGCGAGACCTAATGTCATTAAACTTAAACCTGGCAAACATCAGAGTTACTGGAAACAAAATCAGCCTTGTCTGGGAATACAGTCTACTGCCTCAAAGCGTTAATTTCCCAAAATGTACAGGCAACAGGCTCAGAAAGTGTGATTAGAAAACCCAGCCAGACTTAAAAAGTTCTTTCACCCACAGAGGCCCAAGCTCATAAGCTGCTCCTATCAGCTTGGTGTATTTAATAGCTTCATTGCTCAAAGTGATAACCAGACCATGTTGAATTTAATGTGGGACCATAAAAGTCTGAAGGAAAATTAGCAACATCTAATCCCACCACTGTTGCTTTTGCTTGATTTTTCTCGGGGTAGCTGTGGGAGCTTTTTGTCCTGTTGGTTGTTCCAACCATGTTTTTCACCTATCCCCCTCTCCTGTCCTTGCATGGTTTTCCTCCAGCCATTTTCCTATTGTCACCCACGGAAGAGTTGTCTCACAGGACTCCAGTCATATCAGCATCTCCAAGATGTTTAACAGTAGAAGTAATGTGAATATGGCTTAAAATTAAATAGTTTATGATAGGATAATTTAACATACTATAAAGAGGCCAGATCCTCAGCTGATACTAATTGATGAGAAGATGGAATTGCATCAGTTTTTACCAGCAAAAGATGCACAGTCTAGATCTCTAGGAAAAAGTAGCTTATGTAGTTAAAATTTCACACTAACTTATCTGAAGACAGGGAATTAAACAACAAGACTAAGCATCTTCCAGAAATAGATGCATCAGTGGGAGTTGGAACAGGATTCTATAAGTAATTACTATCCTGCCTGGAGTGTCAGATTCATCAATAAAAGCAAGGCTTTTCTGTAGTATTGGAGCATATAAAATGTAGCAGACCCCACACACTCCACACTAATTGTTGGAAGTAGACATTTTGCAGAAATACTGAAATCGTGAAGTGTCCAGATGGAGGGGTGAAACCTGGAGGGCAAGTCTGAGTAAAGACTGCTTGTCTGACCCCTCATGGTTCCTTCAGGGGCACCAGAGAAGCGATCACTTATGGTACAGTGTCTCATCCCTCTTCTGATGGCAGCAGATGGCCAGGGCTGCTCAATCCCAAATTAATCAAAATTCCATTTGGAAGAGGCACACAGGAGCAGTCCAGGGATGGAACTGGGCTGGCGGAGGAGACAGCAGGATTGAATATGCTGAAAACCCATGTGGAATTCATGGAAAAAAAAATCAAATAAAAATGTTCTAGGAAAAAAGGCCTGCAAAGTGAAAGGGAAGGATGACTTCCAGACCTGACAGTCAAAATATAGGGTGGGAACCAGACTATTCCCCATGACTTTTTCCAGGACAAGAGCATTTTCTACAGCCTTTGCAGGGATTAGTAATGAAATAGAGCAGAGTTGTAATTTTAAGGATCTAGAAATGTCGTATTTTGTTGATACTGTGTTATACCATGTTTCAGCTCTGTCAACTATCCTGCTTGAGGGATAATGTATTTTTTCCACTTCCAATCTGTCTCTATTCAAAGACCAGAAAAATAGTGAATAACTTTCAGATTGCACCCCAATCTCTTCCCTGGCACCCCCCTGAATAATTTTGTCCTTGTTTCTATATGCCATGCTAACAGGCTGAAGTAGCTTTAGTAGTTTAGAGAATTGTCATGAACAGAAAACTGGATTGTTGTTTGGTTGTTTTAATTTGATGGGATTGCAATTCTTAACCTACTTTAAGATGATGATATTCTGACTGTCATTAGTAAAAGCACAGTTAGTCTTGGCCCAACACTTAATCTAGAACCCAGTGAAGTCGCTCAAAAAGCTCTTTTTGATTTTGGTGGATGCTGTTTCAGACCCAGAAACACAGGCCTTCTTGGAATGTTTTCTCCAAGATTTATGAGCTGTTTGAAAAGGTAATTAAAAGGGAAACAGCATGTAACTGCAATTTAGGGGAGACCAGTGTCTATGCAGTAATGAAAAATACTCCAGAACTTATCCTTTAGGGAAAATTTTGGGTTGCATAAATCATCCCCACAGGTTTGAAATAATACTTCATCTCATGTTCTACAGGGGATTTAAAGTGAGTGTTTGACAAGATTCCTTGTGCTGTGTTTCTCTTACTGCATGAATGCTCTTTGGCATTCACCAAAAATCCAGACTGCTTATGTTAATCTGATTTTTCCAATCAAGCCACGTTAAAATGCATTTATTCCTGTGTGGTGAGTCATGCTATAGTGATCTGATCTGTAGATCAGATCTAGGTTATGCTGGATATTGTGCAAACATGAGACAAGGTCTTTCTCAAGGGGCAAGGAAGGCACTTGCTCTCCATAACTTGATAACAAAACAAATTATATAATTTTTGACTACTCCAAGTGGAAGACAAATCTTTCAGTTGTATTTGAAAATGAAATTCACAATATTTAATCAAAGGAAGACAGGCATGAAAAATTATCAGGTGAAAACTAAGAGCACAACTGGATGAAGACAGTAAACACTCACACTGCTGAAATCACGGTGGAGTAGACATGACAGGAGTGGTAACCATAGTGTGTGGGCAAGGAAAATGTGTATTAAAAAGCAAAGCAGGGTAAATAAATCATGCCTAGATTACCATGCTTGTGTTTCCTTGTTGTCCCATATACCTTCTTCAGAGTTAACATAGAATTTGTTGTTGCTTTGGGGTAGTCCTTCAGTTCAGATCACCTGACTTTGAACAAGAGCAGTAATTCAAGTGTATTAATTATTGTTATCGACATTTTGTCTCTGAACTGCAAGTACACATCTAAAGTTTAATCCAAATGGCTATATTGGAAGCTGGGGGCCACACAGCCAGCAGCGCTAAGCCCAAGCTAATTAACTGTGCTGCAAGACAGACATAATAGCTCAGGCAGTATTTTATAAACAGGGAGGATCTGGTTTATTTGTGAAGAAGTGAAGGCTGGTAATAAAATGTTTTTGTTTATTTGTTTTACATGGGTGAAGACTCATAATTTGCACTTGGAAAAATAATCTTTTCATCTTTTCTCTATTGACTTATTTTTTGTAAGCACCATTTTCTGAGGGCAATATCAGGCTAACAGCTGTGGTCCTTTCCTTTCTGCTACCTGGGATCCTATGGGCATGGGAGAGTTTCAAGAATTTGCAATTTTAGGAGCAGTAACCCTTGTGGGTTTTTTCATGTTACATTGTTCTTTCTCCATGATAATACCTTGGATACTCATTCCATACTGTAACAATCCCTTTTGGTTTTATCCTAAATGCAGAAAATTCATTAAATTACTCATTCTCCCCCATTTTCATTGCCACGTCAATCACAGCAACTCTTCAAAGAGAGAGGCTGAACTGTGCATCAGATATGACTTTATTCTTTGTATTTATAAAGCAAAGCATAAATTCTAACAGGTCCACTAGTCATATCTATTGATTTGGTACTTAATCACATGAACACAATGAATATTCAGTGCCTGTATGATATAAAAAGAACAATCAGAATAAGCTATTATAGGTGCTGGAATCTCATTTAAAATCTAATTAGGTCTAGCACAAAACTAAAGGAGTCCTGTCTGAGTATGAAGAAATGGATGTGTCTATATAACAAGTGAAATGTCTTCTTTTTTTTTTTTTTTTTCACCCATCTCCTGGCATGTATTAAGAAACTAGTATTTTTTCTCAATTCTCACTTAGAAAACCATTACTCTGTCTAGCCTGGACAATAGCTCATACCCTCATGCTTTGATTTACAGATTAAAGCTGATCACTCTGCATAGTATAACTGTGCACTGCTTCATACACAGCACAATCATAGTTCCAGTGTTAGGGGTGGTCACTGCAACTCAAGCAGCAATTGCTTTGTAGCTGTACCTGTTCCACAGCTCTGACTGGCCTGAAGCCTTAGTGTCGGATTGCCCCGAGTGCTAATGGACCAGTGACCCCAGTGACCACCAGCACTGGTCAGCTCTAGGCTAAGCCAGATACTTGCAGGTTGTGAAAAGAGTTATGGCAGTAAATACTGCATATACCAAGGTCTGTCTGACCGCAGCCCTGGTATCTCTTTGCCCAACAGTATTTGACCTCTGCCTTGGCAGCAGTGTTGGCGTAGATGGTGCATTGCATGCTAAAGCTTTGGCAGGGATTCCCAAACTGGGGCATCACAAAGATGCACAGGGGGTGCTGAGACCTATCCTTGAAGGCAGAGATACAGATATTTCTGCAGTATGACAGGGAAAGTGGAAAAAAAAAAGGACTCACAAACAGGCTGAGGTTGTTATTGCTTACTGGTAGAGTCAGTAGAGGCCTCTTCCCTACAGCTTTGTTTTCCTGTGTGTCTTATTAGTGAGCAGCAGCAGCAGCAGAAGCCCGATGACTGCAGGTACAGATGGGCCGTGCTAAGAAATCTGGCTGCAATTAAAAACCTCTGCAGAGTGTGGCTTTTCCAGCAGTTCTTTTATAGTAAAAAGAGTGGGAGATAGAAAAATCCTATCCTGTGTTTGAAATCCACTTAGGGCACTAAGATTACACACAAGAAAACGTTGGCAGTAAAAAAATAGGGACTTGCAGGCTTTATTTTAAAATATATCTGTACAGACTCCCATATTAGGACAGAGACTGCCTTGCCATTTATAGATAGAGATGTATGGATGTGTGTAGCTCTATCAGTGTTATACACATGCCTGCATGATTAAGTAAAAATAGATCATAATTTGGTTCAGCACTTAACATTTTGCAGAAAAATAGAGTACCACAAGTATATGCTTTTATATAGATATTCATGCAAGAATTAAAACCAGTCTTCAGAACATGTATTTATTGCCTTAGGGGCAGATGAAGAACAGAACCAAGGAAAATAAATACCTTTCAGCTAACTGTGTTCCGCAAATAGGACACGGCCTTCTGTCTTCAGGGTATATCTTTCTGTTAAAACTGTGCTAGCAAAGTGAATCTGTTGTTTAATGCCTGTTCTAGCTTCCCTTGTGCTTTTCTTGGTGAACCAAAACGTTTGTAGGAGTGGGTTCAACTGACTGTGTAAGATTATTCACACTCTTGCTGTCTTTCACTCATTTGCTTTTTTTTTCCCTTTTCTTTTTTTTTTTTTTTTTTTTTTTTCTTTTTTCTTTCAATTGGAGATGCAGGAGGGCAGTCAGAGACCGTGACAGGAAAAGCACTTAAGGTTTTATGCAGTGAGTCCGTAGTCCTCTCACAGGAAATGCTTTCCCTGCTTTTCATTGCAAGAAAAAGAGTTTAGCCTTCTCCTCTGATTTAGCTTGAAACTTCACTAACATCAGATGTTTGTAACTGGCCAATCCTCTTGCCAATAATGGGGATTTTACTCCATGAGGGGCAGCTGAAAACTGTTTAAATTAGCAAAATAACAGCCAGAGCCAGGCAGAGGAGGATTAGAGGGCTGCAAGGCTTTCCAGGGGAAGCTTTGCCACCCTACCTGCAGTGGGATGATTAGATAACTGTGCTTGATGTGTTCACTTTACACTGCTTTTAGTCATCTTTTATTCAGTGACTACACCTAGGTTTTTCTTCTCCTGTGTCATTTCCAGTCCATAACACAAAATCTGTTGTTTTCCAGGAGAAAGTTTCAACCTCACTCCTTACAGCTCAGTTCATGTAGGTCTGCTCTTCAGTGAAGCCTTAGAATGGTACCATGGGTTAGCAAAAACAGAGGTCAGAATTTGCCCAAGAAGCTGGCTAACAACTGCTTAAACACCATGCTGAATGATAATTTCCTGGAAATACAGTCCTGGATGCAGAAATGACATTTCATTCATGAATTCATTTTGTTGTTGCTGAACGTTTGTAGCTGGAATAATTTTTATGCTTTGAAAACCTGTTCTTATCCCACCTTCATCAGCTTTTGACAGCACAGAAGCCAAGGCAGATGTTCCAGGAAAAGTGCCATTTCCAACCACATACTTGGACCACGAAAGGTTCAGCCTGAAGCAATGTTACAATGACTTCAGAGCTGCCAGCTGTGAGTGTCTCCACCCCAACTGGCTGGCTAGAATTAATATCATTATTCCAAATGTAAGGACTTAAAGAGTGTATTGCTTCACATATAAGTAGAGAATTAAAAGGAATCAGGGAAGGTCATTCTGATATTCTGTTCACATAATATATTTGTGGGGTGGGGAAGGGGGGGAGAGGGACTAACCAGTGAGAACACACTCTTCTATATTAACATTGTTGTGAATATTAAGATTCAGAAGTATAACCCAAGTTTTACACACTCCCACCTGTATTACTGGCTACAATTTCCATCATTTTAGCCCTGCAAATTCAAATTATTGAGACGTGGTTTGACCTCCATGCAATAGCGAGCCAAGAGAAGTCCTGTGATATCTCTTTGCCAGAGAAAATTTGTGCTCATGAAAAGCTGAGATGCTCAATGGGCAAGGGTGGACTTGATAATCTCTAGTCACTCAATGATGCATCTGAATCAGTGAAAATAGGGATGGGTTAGGGGAGCCCAAATGCCAGGTCAGGGTAACCACGAGGAAAAATGCAGGGTTCCAGGAGCACAGGGTTGCAAAGCAAACATACCATGTTCAGGACTTCCTGAACAAGGAATTTCAGGAAAGAGATGTTTGGTAAAAGTTAAGTTTGATCGGCATGAGGTTAATTCCTGAATTAGCTTGTATTTCTCATGATTTGAGGAGGATGCGGAAAGTCTTGGTCTGTGTATTGATGATTTACTTGCTTCTCTTCTCCCTGTAATGTATTAAGCCCTACAGAAGGTGGGCAATTTCTAAGTATGTCCCTAGACTTTGCAGGCTGCTGTGTATGGATCCTAATTTTTGCCTGTTATGTATTGCTTTCCATATCTATATTGTTCCCAGGATTTAATTTTGACTCCATTCCATCTCATCTGAGATGAATGGCTTTAATCAGAACCTCTTAAACCCACTTCATTCAATGGTAACCCTTTGTGAGACACTGAGGAACACACCACTGTATTGCCCTGTCAAGGCAAGAGGCTAACTGAAGCAGGGAATTTAGCTTCTTAACTAGATTCTAACTAAGAGGCTCTTAGGGTTTATAAGATTTTCCAGTGATAGCCTCATTTGGTCTCTATAAATGGAAGCTGGGCAAGAAAATAAAATCTATCTGTCTGTTCTGAAACTTACTTATTGATTTCAGCAGTCATACTGTAATTGTTCTCACAAATCAGCTGAGATGCTTAATGAAAGGTGACTTGAGTGGCAATTTTTCGGCTGCTTCCCAATGGGCAGCAGCTGACAAACCTGGTATTCCTTGTTAACCAAGTATAAATTTTTTAAATGAATGAATCAAAGTGACTAGAATTAATGATGTTTATCACAGCACTTGCAACTCTCATTCACCTCTTCCATTTACGTTTTATAAAGCTGAGCTGATGTTGGCATCATAGTCCTCTTCCAGAGAAGTGCTTTTCACCAGCCCCGGGCAAGAAGTTCTTTGCAGAAAAAGGAGACCTCAAGCACTGGATGTGAAGGTGCAATCACATCACTGCTTTGCAGTCTGGCTGGCATCAGCTCTCACAGCTAGGGCACAGCTGGGGCATTCTCAGAGTTGATATAAGACCAATTTGTGAGATCTTTCACACCAGACCCTGCAAGGGCATGAGCTCTGGGAGGCTGGAGTGTCAGGTCTGGAGACAGAACCATAACTGAAAAGTGTTCCTTCCAGTTCAAGGCAGTATTTACAGAGGTATGTTGTTCTCATCTCTGTGCACAGAGTATTTGCTTAATTTAGGGACTATGGAGCATCCCAGGCTGGGAGGAGGGTAGCACCCCTGGCCAGCATGTGGATGCAGGCACTGAGAGGGGAAGGTAAGGGGACAGACAACCTTGGAGCCTCCTGTTCAAAGCCTGAGACAAGGCAGCTGTGTTTTGCAGCTGTTTCAGAAGGGGCTTAGTATCTCTTCATTCTCTAGTTTGTACATATGGTTTTCTGCCTTCATTTTGTAGCTCTTGCTGATAGAGGACTCTCTGAAGTTCCTCTGAACATGCAAAAAAATTAGCATACTTTCTCCTCTGAACTTCTAAAATCCAACTAAAGGCTTTTAGCTGATTATGTCAAGTCTCTTCCCTCTAATGACTTTCCAGTTTCTTGATGTTGAGCAAAATCAGCGGATAACTCTCTCTATTAGATATAATTATCAAATGTATATTGAGCTTGGGAAATTATTCAGTTAATTTTGTCTTTAGTCTTCCACTTCCTGTCAGAGATTTGAAGCATAAGCCTGCATTTCTCTCTTAATTACTGCATCCTGTTGATTTCTTTTTCCGTTTTTAAAAGATAAGCACATGCTTAAATGGGAGCCTTTGACAGAGGGAAATAAAAAGTCTTCATTAAAGTGTGATTGTGGTTTGAGTGTACTAATATCACTGACTAAGGTGAACCATGATTTTTGATCAGAAATTCATGACTGATTTAGCAGTTTTTTGTGAAGATGGCAATGGGGGAGGGTCCACTCTCTGTAACAGGAACAGTATCTTTCTCTTGATTAGATTTTGGTACTACCACTACACTCACAAGGATGAGTTCTTGTTCAAGTGGAGCTACACTAATGGGAACATTCAAATCCCATACTAAGCTGCTTTCCACCTTTTTTAACACTTACCAAGTTGATTTGAAAGAAACTCTTCATATGGGAGGCCATTCAGAGAAGGGACCATGCTGTAGTTTCATGAAGCTGCAAACTTCTTGCAGCCTACTAAATGCCTTCTGTTGTGTACAGCTGGGACTGCAGTCTGTGTCACAGAGCCTTTGTTACCATATTTTGTCTTTCTGATGTGAGGATGAATCTTTCTAGCAGCTTTTTAAAGTCATAAAAATAATTTTAAAACATGTTACTTCACACAGGGAGGGTCTGCACCACTGTATCCATTCTTGTTTTCATGGTATAGTTTACTGCTCCAAATACCCACTACCTCTGCACTGGGTTTTGTCTTTGACCTTTATTCCATTCTGAACAGATCTTGTTATTTTTTAAATTCTGAACTGAACACGCTATTATATGTTCACATTTTCAAGTAAGCACAAAAAACATTCAGTTAACTCAGCTGAGAAAGTAGGCCTGGATCTCACTGCTGGAGTTCCTTCCCTTGTATATTCTTGATGCCTCTTGTCCCCTTTTCATGAGTGCTAACTTTATCTTATAGCAGTCTGACAGCAGGGACACGCTGAATTCTTCTAGTTTGATGTTTCCATTGCAATATTAGGTTGAATGGTAGTTGGCAGCAAAATCCATCCCTATACCTCCAGAGACTCATTAAAACCGGGTAACTCTGAAGTACAGCAAAATGATTTCTGTTTGGACTATGTTGCCAATTTAACAGTTGTGTGAAAGGTAAAATGATTAAGTAGTTTCTTGTAAGGAAATTCCTCTAAGTAGGCACTTTGTAAAAACTCCCAATAAATGTTCACTTATCAGATCAACTTTGTAGATATAACTGCTCATAATCCTGTGCTACATGCCTAAGAAGGCATATATAGATTTTTCTAGCATAACAGTTTCTTACGTGGCTTATTATAATTGCACTAATCTTTGTATGTGTTTAAAACAGAGGACTGGGAGTATTATCACACCATTTCAGGACACGTACTGGTTGAGCAAGGGAGCTGCTTCCCTTCAATATAGCTGGCACTCACAATTTAGCTCTAATCATAAAAGAATATCTACCATAGTTTTATTTTAATATCCCCTTGTGGATGTGACAGACTGAAACTGTGAGCCCTGATACCGGAAAGTAAATAATGCCACTTGCAGGCTGCTTGACCCAATGGAGATGTCACACAGGAGGTCAAGACAATTCCAAGAATGCATTCGGCACTGAAATTTCCCCTCCAGTGAGCTGGTGTCTGCCAGCCGAGGTGCCCCCACAGCATGCCAAGAGGCCAGCTGCAGCTAATAACCACCCGGGCATCTGGACCCCCGTGCTGCTCCTGCCAATGCACCACAGAACTTGTCTGTAGCACCGACAGGTTTTCCTAATTCTCTCTTACACACAAAATCAAACAGAAAAATATTTAATTTGACAGGGCAAACAAATGGTGCTTTAGTGGAGAAATGATACTCTCAGCATATGATAGCCATCTGCCTGCTCCTCATCGTGATTGTTGGGGAGTTATAATTGGACACACGGTTTTGACACCTACAGAGACTAGCTGGTACTGCCACCAGACATTTTTAAGTGGGACAGCGCATTTATGAGTGTGAATTTTCACTTGGCTGCCATCCAGACAGCCCTGCTAGAGATCACTGGGTAATCAGGGATAAAAACGGTTAATGAAGTTTCTGTTTCAGTTAAAGCCAAATGTACAAATTGCACATTTTAAAAATTATTATTATTTTGCATTTATGGCTAACAAAGATCCTACTTGGGTTAGAACAAAGTGTACAAATTTTATTGTTTTTTTTTTTTTTTTTTTTTTTTTTTTTTAATATTACATATTGGCATTCATTGCCAATGTCTGACTGCTCTCAGAAGCCAATAACAAACCCTGTTGTGCCAGTGGGTGTCTTTCTCCAAATCCATCAGGCTCCATCCAGGAAAACCTAGGAAGGAGCAGTGCCTTCCTGTGCCTGTACAGGCTTCCCACTGGGACAGAGCACACAAACACCAGTTTACATTTATTGTGCTCTGCAGCCTGCCAGTACTAAAGCCACATCTGCTGTGGTTGGTGTTCCTTTCTTAGTCAAGGCCAATAAGGCTTTCACAAATTTCCCCCTCTCCCCGAATCAAAATATCATTTTTTGGCCCAAACTCGTTGCCAAGCTCTGTTTTAATCCATTAAAACAAGCAAGTAAGCAGACAAACAACAAACCCACCAAGCAAACGCAAACTGGAGATCACTGAATTCAAAATGATGTAGAGAAAATACATAATCTTGTTCTACAGCTTACCCACAAAATGTCTGTACATGGTGTTTATCCTGTCAGTATGTAATGCTAGTGACAGCAAACAGTCCTGCAAAAAGCTACCCCTCATTTGCAGGGTGTGGAGGGAAGCATGAGGCTGAGCAGAGGCATGAGATGGCTCCACTGGTGCAACAAGGGGTAAGTGTGTGGTGGCAAGGCACTGGTGTGGCTGTGGCAGGGACAAGTTGTCTGCTGTGATGCTGGATCTGCGATTCCCACGTAAAAGGCAAGTGGTGATGCAGGGATGGCATTTACTGTAGGTTTTGAGGAAACTAGCCTTTAATATGGTATGCCTGGCTCATCCTCATTTCATAGAGAAGGGAGCTACTTTAACAATGCATGGTGGCACAGTTGTTTCCCATCGGGTATTAATGATATATTTGAAATGTGACTGCTCTCTGACAATTTGTAATGCAGTGGTTCTAGTCGAGGCAGAGGAGGGTCAGTACAACCTTGGTTTGATTGCTAGACAAAAACTATGCCAGCATAAAAATACTCTTTGGCACCATAGTGGGTTTTTAGGGCCAAGACCCAATTTCTTTATTTATTGATACATTTATTCTTGGAGGAAAAAAAAAAAAAAAAAGGCTGGACAAGAATTGACCTAAATTCCTCCAGTTCTAGACCAGCAGTGATGTGAGACAGAAGCGCATCTCAGTTCTTGCCCTGAGGGCTGATGGTGAGCCTGGGCCCGTGCTGAGTCTGCAGCAGCTATGGGCTGTGTGAGGCCAACAAGACTGCTGCAGCCAGGCTGGGGTTGCAAGGCTGGCTGTTTATGAAGGTTAGAAGGTTCAGGAATGGTTTAGATGCATTTATTTCTGAACTCTCAGGACAGTCACCATTGATTTTCCCAGGTTTAGGATACTGGCTAAATCTTAAATTCCAAACTTGCCATCAGTTCCCTCCTTTGCAGTTTCACTGCTCTGTCCCAAGCATTATTTAGCCACTGGACTGCACTGTCCTAATTATGTACAAAAATACCAAACCAAAGTACTAAACCAAAGCTAGATTGTATTATTTTTTCCCCGTTGAAGGAAAAATATTTTTGTCCATGCATTTCATAGCATGCTATTGTTCATGAGCAATTTAAGACAGAAATATTTGATGCTGCAGGGGCATTGGTAAAAACCTAATCAAAGGCAAAATGCCCCTTTGCTCCTGTTCAGTGTTCATATTGTTTAGTTCATATTAGCATTGATTTTTCCCAAGCCTTTAGCATCCTATTTATGAAAGGTAGCATAATGAATTTTACCAATAAACAAGAATGTTGGAACAACAAAATAGACCTTTCTTCCACTGGCTGGTGTGTAAGTGTGAAATGGCTGCATTTCCAGAAGGGCTCTGCTTTGGCTGGCTTACATTTCCTCCACCACCACATGGCAAACACACTGTGCCCTCGTCACCATCCATATGTAGGGCAAGAGAAGTGTTTACTGCAGATGAGGGATACACTGAATGTCTAGTCTGATGATGTTTGTATTTAAGTCAGTTGGGAATCTCTGACATTCTCAATTACAGCTTGTTTGCACACTCTCTTTGCAATTACCAAGCAGTTTGCAGCCAGTGCACCTAAAGTCTGCTCTGGGACAGGCTAAAATCTCACTGTCAAAGCTAGGAAGGTATGTGGCATTTGCAGTGCTAACAGAGAAGAATCTGAAAAAAAAGCCTAAACTTTGTTCAGTCCTTTCAAGCGATGACTTGTTCACCAGTCCTTCCCACAGCTCCTTGCTGATGTAATTACAAACCAGTCCCAGCTTAGGCTGGCTGAAAATAAACTTCATGTTTTCATTTAATTGGTTGGATTTTCTGCCTCAGAGCCACAAAAATAAAAATGTACAGAAAAAAATATTTACTTAAAGGGGCTATTTAAGTAGGATCTCCCAAATATTTAAATGTTCCAAACAACAGGTAAGACAATAAATCCATATAAAAATGTGTTAAAATATAAAATTAGTGGGTAAGTAAATTTACAGTAGGGGAGCTGAATGTCTGTGGTTATTTCTTGAACCCTGCTCCCTGAGATGTACTCGTTCATGTCCCACATGTTAAGCCCAAGAGCTCCCTGGTTCTTGTCCAGAACTGTCTTGACAAAAGTCACATAAAAAAAATGCATGCAAGTTTTGCATTCAGCCTTCAAGCAGAGCCTGTCAGGGATACTGGTCAGGCAGTGAACTGTTCCAGTTATGTTTTGAAGCAAAGATGGGACAGCAGGCAGTGAGGACTTCCACGTCTCCGGTCTTGGCAGCTCCAAGAGGACTGAGAAGCTCCCATTCTGTCAGGCAGCTGGAGATGCCAAAAGCAGCAGCTCCGATCAGCTCTACCCCATCTTCAGGGTATGCCGACTGCTATGGCTAAAGCCTTCTTATTTACAGTGAAGCACTAACATTAGCAATCAAGAGCTCAGTCCTCTGTCTTGGTCGGTCTGTTGTCATTTCTCTCTCTCTGCACTGAGGTTCAGGCACATAAATAATAATGTGAGTTAATGGCTTTGAAAAGTCTGCAGTGGACCTTGCTGCATTGGATGCTGGGCATTGCAATGGAGTTGCTGTACACTGCATTCATTCTGAAAAGAAATGAAAACCTGGATTTTTTTTTTTTTATGTTGAAGTATTTTATTTTTAAGTGTGGGTGGGTTTATTTATTTATTTATTTTATTTTTGGAGTATGCATGTTATGGAGCAGTGAGTTGCAGTCACTGAGGGAATATTGCAAAATGCTCATGGGAATACTCATCTTCCCGTTCCCTGAACTCTCTGTGAAAGGATATTTGAGATGTTCAGATGGTGCCAATAAAACACAGTTCTCAGGGACATTGGGCAGGGGGAACATGAGAAAGGGGATAAGGGGGAGACACCCAGATCAGTGGATGTTTGAGAAGTGCTTGGTCACCTCAAAATCCTTGGTGGGCTTGGGGTGCCCAGCTGAGGGTCACAGGTGGCAGGCAACACCAGAATCAATGTGTGGAGTGTCAGCAAGGGTAGCTTTTGGCTGCACTTTACTAATGTAAGCTGGAAAGTGACTTCTTATATTTATGACTAATGAGTTGCAGGATATAATTCATGTGGCAAAGAAAAGGAGCAGTGGCTGAGAAACAAACTATTCACTATTGTTTTTCCATCTTTTACCAGCTGAAAGATGTTGGCAAAACTGGAAAACCTCAGGTCATTTTGAGTTCAGCTTTATGATGAACTATTTATTATCCCTGTAATTATATTTGACAAATCAAAGATCAATGTAGACCTTACGAGTCTTTAATGAGAAAGAATGTCAATCTTTGCTCAGTATATTCCCTGCATGTTCAGTCCAGCCGCCCAAAATCCAGCTATGGGTGCCTCCGTCTTGGCAAGCTGCAGTGGCTGGGGCAAGGAGATGTGCATGCAGGAGGCTAGGAGCATATCCTCATCAGAGACAGGGATGCTGAGAGCAGTGGTGAGCCCGGACAGCAGGCTGGTGTCAGGAGGGTGCTTACAGCCCCTTTGCTGCTTCGCCCCAGAACTGCTTCTTCAAGTCCCTGCTACAGTCTGCATCCGTATTTAAGCACTAGTCTGACAGGGTGAGGATTTCATGAAGCTGAAAACTGGATTCAGCAGCAGCTCCTTAGCCTGGATTACTCCTGTGAAGCCCCTGCAAAGTTATTTATTAGGCTGAATCCCATCCTTATCCATGTCAGGGGAGTGGTGGGAATGCTAACACTGTGTTCAGAAATCGTAGAATTGGATAAGAACGATTCCTTTACATTTTTATGTGAGAGAAGCAGCAGCTATTCTAATTTATCTCCTAGTTTCTGAGACTCTAGAATTCACTGATTTATTATAATTATTTTTTTTTTTCCTGCAGAACTTTATTCATAATAAACCTTTTTATGTAAAAGAAAGAATAAGTAGACAGTTTCCCAGGGTATATCCCAGTAACAGGCTCTACTGGATAAATTGCCAAGTCATCCTATGATTTGCATTAAAAAAGCACAGGGTTAGCTATCCCAAGACATAATACTGTAATTTAGTTGTTTATCTACTTAGCTCAATTAATCAGCAACCACCACTATGCTTTCAGAGTGAGGGTCTGCAAGAAGACCTCAGAGGAAAGCTTTGCAGCATGGACGGATCCTGCACCACCTCCCAGGGCAGGGTGGTCCCTGGAGGAGGAGAAGCAGGGTCAATTGTTATTTCTAATTTCATGCATCTTCTCTCCCTTGGTGTGCTTGGAGCTGGCTGGGCGCTGCTCTACATCAGCAGGTGCTGATGCTGAAAATCTTTTTCTGCTATTTCCCCCACCCTGTTCCACCTTGCACAGGGCTGCTGAAGCCCAGCTGGCAGGGAACCACCATCTGCGACACGTGCAAAGAAAACCCCTCTCTCCTTCTCCCCAGCAACCCCCATGCAACGACTGAATAATTTTTCTCCCACTTGTTTTCCATGGGGTGCTGCGGGGCTGTACGCACAGCGCGGGGGAGAGGCAGAGCCAGCCCTAGCTGGTCCCAGCGCTGGTGCGATTCCTGCCATCCGGCTGCTGCGGATGTGACGGGAATGAGAATCGCGGAGCTCTGTCCTCACACAGCGCTTTGTAAATGAATCGCTTTGATCTCAGGCGGATTTCCCTGTGCTATTTTTAGATGTGGTGAGGATAACCGAGGGATGTCGATTCTGATGCAGACAGAAAGGAGCTTCAGATGCAGTTTTCCTCCTGGGGCAGGAGAGGAGAGCAAAACGAGGAAAACAAGGCAATTTCCAGCAGTGTTTCTGAGCCTTTTGGAACAGACAGAGATAGGTCACTAAGCCCTTGAGGCTGAAGAGGGATGTTCCCTAAATATAAAATTCTGATAAATCTCCTTATGCTTCTCCTTGATGCTTTTTTGTGTAACTCACCATTCTGCACCAGCCCAGAGTCAGGATCTGTGATTAAATTCAGCTTTGCAGGGTCCTGGATATATCTATAAGGGATTGCTAATTGTTACCCTTTATGTTGCCCTTTATTCAAAAATAATTGTAACAGCTCTCACTCTCCCTGTTTAAAGGACTTAAGTGGATGTCTCAAATTGCTTGGTTTTGATCATGTCAATTCCTGCTTTGCATTTTGCCTTCAAAAATAATAAATAACTTAAGCAAAACAAGAAACAGAAAATCAAATCAAGCCTTTCTTCCACAGGAGCAGGAGCGTGTGTATGTGTTTGGAGGTTTGCACGCAGGTTGCTGGAAGGGGAAAAAACCTGTGTACAGGGGGAGAGCTCTTTTCAGGGTTTTTTTCTTCTTCTCCCATCTCCCGTTGCTGGGGAAACCACCAGCCCCAGCGCTGGGAGCGGCTGACTCACCGCGCCCAGTCCTCACCGCACACACTGTGCCTCGAGCTACAGCACAGGAACAAAGAAAATACAGACTTCAGCAGTTAGACATGAAATACCAAAAATCTCCTTTACCGGTATCTCCAGGACATGGCTGGTGGCAGCTGGCTGTAAGCAGTCCCCAGAGGCTGTAGGAAAGCCATGGGCAAGGCTTTTATTTGATGTCTCGGGGAAGGAGAAAGCAACACTGCCTTTGGTGATGGGGTCCCAAGCTCTGCAGAGCTGTGGAGTCACCCACTCCATAGGTGTCACATAGCTCCAACAGTCACTAAAGCTGATGGAAGAATCCCTATTGATTTCCACTGGGTTTGCTCACCGTCCACCTTTCCATAAATATTCACAGGAACACAAACGAGCCCTCTTTTCTTCTTCCTCCTCTGCTGTGTTCGCATTTTGTGGGTGGATCTCAGTTCTGTCCAGCTGTGAGCACAGGGTTTAAATGGGCATTCCCCTTTCCATTTGTAATTGTGCTGCTCGTGCCTCCTGTGGTTAGAGGGTGGCTGTCCACAGCCAAATGCAGTGGTCCGATGAACTTGGTCATCTGTTAGCATAAATCGAGATGCTGATATAATTATGTTTATAAATTCCAAATCACAAGGTCAAACAAATAGGCTTAACAGTAAGCAATTTGGGGTCTCCTTGGGATTTGCAATGCATTTACTAATGTATTATTCAGAATTTCTCTATCTGGAGAGCTAGAAGCTTAGTTGCTATGTTGGTGTTTCTGGTTTTCATGTTTTCTTTTTATCCACAGATTTTGGGGGCAGGGGAGAGGAAGAAAGCAGGAAATGTGATGGGACTGTAGAAGAGCAGCAAGCACAGCAGGACCAGCAGCAGCCAGAAAACAGGCTTAGCAGGGTATTGCAAGGCTGGCACGTTTGGCTCCTGCCTTGGCAAGCTTTGGGAACCTGAGTTATAGCTGGAAACTTCCCCTGGCTCGGGTTTCTGGGTCACCTGTGATGCTCAGACTGTTCCTAGCATCTGACATTACAGCTGTTGAGGTCCAAGACAGACACTACCAGCAACGGGCTCCCAATACTTTTTTCCCCACATTTCTCCTCCTTTTCCCTCTTTGTCTCCTTCTTCCTCCCAACACTGGGGTACAAACAACTTCTTCACATTAAGTTAACCTAACAGCTAACACCTGAAGCAAAAAAGATGTATATTTGTAAGAAGACCTCCAACCTCAGCGTGTTTTTCCTTCATCCAGCACAAATGTGCGTGACCAGATGGACCAGATATGCAACCTCTACCCCTCCACGCACCACATCTGAGCAGTCTCTCCAGATGTGTTTGCAAGTCTGGACAACCCAGGACAGCCCAGCACAACCCTATTCAACATTGCTGGGGCCATCCTTCATCTCCTTAGTCTCGCTGCCCCTGCACAGTGAGACATCCCCCTCCTGATCCTTTCTTCTGCTTCACACTTGCTTTTTCTGCAGAAGTCCCTCTGGGTATCATGCTACCAGTAGATCACATCTGAATTTTGCATCTGTGAATGTAAGGCTTGTGTCTCTTCTTGCCAAGTCCATCTCAGATGGCTGGGGGGTCAGGGCAGCCACGTCCCCCCTGCACCTCCAACCCCCAATTCCCCACAGCCCTGCACTGCAGAGCTGCTAGGAGCCAGGGCAGGAGGACAGTTTTGTTAGCATCAATACCGAAGCAGCATTTTAAGCCAGTCACAAGCCAAGGCTGGGTTTTCACAACAAAAATTTGGATTTAGAGGGTGGACTCCCTCCTGAATCCTGAAAACCCACTGCCTGGTGGATGCCTAATTCTGCAAGTAGGTCACGCCTGCTCTCTGCCTCTGGGTACGGCGGAGACTTGACAGGTCTAAATAATAACTCTTATCTCCTCGCTCTTTGATGTGAGATGTCACTAAGATGTTCCCTGCCATTCACTTTTCATTTCTCCTCTTCCCTTTCTGTAAAACTCTGCTGAACACACAAGTTAATGAATGATAAGACATTTCTAGGTCCCACCAGTTTTGGCAGCACACAGTCTCCCCTTGCCAGCCTCTGACGTGGCCCTTTGCATTGCCCTGCTGTGGGAGACCAGCTGGCAGGACTGTGATGTCCAGTGTGCAGAGCCCAAAGTTGACAGCCCTCTGCCTATAAAAGAATCACAAGCTTTACTTGCTGGGTGTGCAAGGATGTGCGCATGCATATGCACAGTCTTTACATCAAAATGCTGCTTGTGTGTGACACCGCGGATAACATCTCATCCTGTCCTCTTACCGTCTCCAGCTCATCACTCTGTAAAGAGTTGCAGATCTAAGCTTTAAATAAAGCTGGGAGTTGAAAGCTGTGCAAGGGAATCCCATTAACAGAAGCTGTGTCAATGCCATTGGCGGCTCAAATGCTAAGATACAATGCATACATGGTTTCTTACTCTTGCATTTTACCGGTACGTATTCAGCTGGGTCTTTGTCATAAAGGTTTCAGCTTCTACAGGGAGTCTTTTAAAGACCTTGCCCTAATTATGAAGCAATTCCAGTGACATTTTAAATTATGGGTGAGTTTTACATAAGTCTTTTGATACGTGTTGTTATGACATGTAAAATTTTATCTTTGCCAGATGCAGTGAATTATGTAAGATCTTTGTTTTGCATTTGTCAGGGTAATTTGAACCATTGCAGATTTAACAAATGCACTTTCAAAGGACCCAATCCAGCACACAGCTGTGATAGTACAGATAAGCTTCATAAACTTTATTAAATTTCTATTAAATTATATAAGCTCTCAGACATGTTTATGTGACAGTGTTAAAGCTGCAAAGTCAAGCATGCAAGGAGTAGAAAAAAGTCTTATCCTGAAACGCAGCCCCTTTCCTGGGCTTCCAGTGGTGGCTCATTATATGATCAAATGCTGTTTTTTTCCATAGGGGCCAACCTCAGTCGCTGAACAGACTGCCTGATGCAAATCAATGGGCAGCAATTCAAAAATCTGTTTTCTTCCCGTCATTCAGTGTGTGGCCCCAGCCCTTGTTTACTGCATACTGCTTAGCCTTGCTGTAAAGATGAAATACTGTTTCCGCCTGGGTTTTTCCATGACACTCATTACTGCGGTGTTTGTTTATTTCACATGCAAACTATTAATTAATTTGTCTCTGTGAAGCCCAGTAAGGCACGGAAGAAGCATAGATAAGGAACAGAGACACAGAAAGAGTCAAGTCAAGAATGTCAATTAATTTGGGATGTTCAACTCGAGATGCTCAAGAGCTGATACCTCCATGCATGTATTATTTATTTGTCTGCTTTAGTGCTGCTGTGCCTTTCAGCATCCAAAGGGCAGGACCACAGAAGACAGCTTCTGCCTGATCAGAGAGGCTCACAGAGTTCAGCCTGCTAGTGGCCATCACTTCCATCACTAAAGGAGTCCCATGTGCTGTGGGTCAAAAGTGGATGAAAATTTCTCTTGCTTGGACTGTAGCATGCAGCAGTAACTTGAAGGAGGGCTTGCATCACACTAGAAAGTACATGGTCACGGGAATGCAGCTGCAGAGGCCATACTGAGCTCACCAGCCTCCTTGGCCTTCTTCAGATCACAATTCACCAGCTCCCAGACCAGAAATGAGAGACCTGAGCACCACTGCAGAAACTTTCACTTGTCTGAGCTCCAGGAGTATTTATATAATTTAATCGATAAATTGCATTGATTTATTTGCACTAAGTAACTCCTTGGGATCTGGATAATAGATAAGGGTGTGCATGGTGCTGTACAAACACATCATAAATAAATGTAGCTTGCAAATCGATTGTCAGTTATTGGTGATTAATCTTCTCATAGTAAAATAATGTGATGTGATGTGATTATGGATTTTTTTATTTTTTTATTTTGAATTTGACCTAAGAGATTTCAGAGTCATTTATTTCAGGAAGGCTGCCCTTTAAGCCAGATCTTACACTTCTTAAAAGGTCGTAGGGTTCTAAATATCATGGTAACTTATGAAGCATGGCTTCCTGAGAGGTCTGACAGCTGCCTTCATCAGAACAAAGCAAGGTCCTGTTCAAACAAGTGCTTGGCCATGGAGGCTATAGACTGTGTTCTTACAGGGAATTTCACACTATCGTCCTCTTTGGCTGCTGGTGCTGCATACATAAAATAATGTAAAGGTTACCCCAGCTGGCTCCTAAAGCCTGTGTACATCAACATATGTGAGGAACAGCACAGACATTTACCATCATCCTGTCACTGGCTGGTTCGATTTCTGACATTAGTGAGAGAGCTAAGCGCGTTATAATGTGGTACTTCACTAACTGCATCTGGTGTGAGATTTATGCAAGAGAAAGATAAATATATTTGACCATAGTTAGGTGTAATTACAGATACATTGAGCCCAACACAGACACCAGAGCCAGATGAGACTGCAGCTACCACACCCGTTGCCTGAGCTCAGCACTCCCAAGCAGTGCACAGCTGAGATGACTTCAATCACATTCATCTCCACAATGCTTTATTATATAACAGGAAGACTGTTTGTTTTATATCTGTTCATTAGGTTTCCCAGATAAAAGGACAAACTTCCTTGTCTCTTTTTCTTCCTCATCCTCTCATAGCACATGGAGGGCAGAAGGGTGCAGCCCTGTGGTCCAGATAGATCTCTGACACCTGCATTTTGGGTCCTTTCAATTTTTTTATTTTAATTTTTTATTTTTTGTTAATAAGAAGAAAGGGCTTTTTACGTAACTTCTATGCAATTGTTTGTCATTCTTACAATGTTGCTTCTTCACTCTTTTCTTGTGAATTTTCATGCACTGTTAGAGATAAATCACTTTATTTTATAGCACAGCACTCATTTTTAAAAAGTACAGGTGATACTTGAGCTGTTCTGATTACGTTTACTTTCTAGGAATATTTATGGGAGAGGGGAATGTATATGTTTGCTGCTAAACTTCAAGTCTATTGTACAGTGGCAACCTGAAGTCCATCTGAACACAGATTAGGTATTATTTGGCCAAGCATTATTGTACATTGTATAGGTGAACTAACAAACCATTCTGATTACAAATTTGTCTTACAAAACATTGATTCCCTTCTGTTTATTGAGCAACAATATGGCTTTAGCCCAAGGATCAGGTGATAAATAAAATGAATTAAAGCCATTGCTCCTGGCCCTGGGCTGGTTTGTTACAGTACACAATACACTCAGGCTCCATGAGCTCATTCATGTTGGTTGACCCTTCCATGACCACAGCCGTTTTCCTCTGGGAGCCATTCCCAGAGTGTGAGGAGGAGACTTGCTCTGCACTCTGGACAGTCAGGGCAAAGATCATAGTTGGAGGTTTATAACCAGATAGATGGAAGTTTTATTGATGTTTAATGAAGACTTTTGGTAGTAAGAGAAATGCTGAGATCTGTAGGCAGCCCGACTTTCAATAACTTTGCCACTTTTGAGTCATTGTTAATACCATCCCACTCAGCGGTTATTCCTAGGCCTACTCTCTCTTCCCAGCACTTTTTTTTTTTCTCATATTCTTTTAATTCCCTTTAACCCTGATGACAATTACCTCCCCCCACCCCAGCCCCTCTCTTTTTCATCTTTCCTGGCAAGCTCCATCCAGCTCTGTTATCTTTGTCAGCTGCTTAAACCCTTCTGCTTTCCATGGCAGTTTTCAAAGACTGGAGATCCTTGAGCAGTCTCCTGTGAGGTTTTAGCAGCCATTTCCTGCTCCTAGTTTCTGTGTTGGCAAGAGACTGCAGTTTGCTTTCCTCTTTAATGCCATTTCTGAGCAAATTTTCAGTGTCGTGCTACACCATGAGTGATCAAAGTCTTTCCCACTGCAAGCTTTGATCAAGAAGTAAAAGTCTTCTCGCAAAGCATCAGTCCCTTCCTGCTCGCTGCACAAGGTGGGTCAGCAAGTACCAAGGGCAATATGGAGGTTGTGGAAATGTTTGCATGAGTAAGACTGGCAGGGGTTGCATGTTCATTTCCCAAATATTTTCCAATTTATTGCACCAGCAAGGTGAATCTCTGTGTGATCTGAGTCTGTTTTTCACCACGTTGAATTTCTTGTGCTTGCTGTCGCCAACCCCATTCTCACCAGTTCAGGCTGCCAGGGAATGCTCATATGACAAATGCGAGCTGAGAGTTAACTCGAGATCTAATCTATCTACCTTTCTCTCTAATCTCAATATATAAACATGAATATATTTGCTATGTATACACACACACATATATATCTTTTCCTCCTTGGCAGAACTTGAACTCTGAGTGGGCTGGTGTCTGTCTGCTGCATAGAGTGATGGAAGAACACGACTTTTGCCCTTGTTGAAAATGAAAATAATTGAGGGTTGGCTCAGTCAAATGCCACAGAGAGACGTGCCAGGGGCAGCACTATTGTGGGTGAGCAGCTGCCATGAGTATCCTTGAGGCAGATGTGTGGCTGTCTGTCTGCGTAGCTGTCTGTCTGGATCGGTACAGTCTTCTGCTCTGCACTGTGCATGCTGTGAGGGGGGGGTCTCACCAAGGAGGATAAGTAGCTGAAACAACTGACTTCTGGTGGCAAAGCATTAACGAGATGCCAGCCTTGCATGACAGATGGGATATCACACACCTGCCACAGGAGGTGGAAACATGCCTGGGCCCCACATGGTGCTCGCAAGGCAGCTGCTCTTGGTAGGTGGGGCAAGGCAGAAATGCTTACCTTTTTCTTGAATGCTGACTGAAGTTGCAGAACAGGATACAACTGGAAAAAAACATTAGTGATCAAGGGGATGAAAACGGTGCTGTGTTCATAGGTAGAGACTTGAGGATCATCTAAGCAGGTGGGGTCACTAGCTGGTAAGAGTTAACAGCATCCAAATTCCTGCCTGGTTTATGATGTCCTTTGCTTTCTCTTAGTTTTGCTTGATCTACCCTGATTAAGTGGCCATAACATCTGCTGATTGAAACTTCCTGGAAAACCTCAGTACTGCATTATTTAATATCTTCACCAACATCTCTGTAACAGGTGGTTTCCCAAATGTTACCACTACTTCCAAAGCCATTAATTTTTTATTTTTTTTTAAATGAGGGAAGTTAAAAACACCCTTCTCAACAACAACAAAAAGTTCTGCTTTTGATTAACAAGGAAAAAAGTTTAAATTTTAAAGATCACTTTATATTATTAACTGACTTAATTATCAGAAGGGATGGTTGAATGAGCAGACAATTAAAATAAGGAGAAGCTCAGAAGGAAAAGTTCATCAGTGCATTAGGCAGACAATGGGAGAAAGTAAAACCATTTCAAGTACCATTTGAAGGAAGCCATTTGGGAAAGAAATAGGATTAATTAAGTTTTGAACCAGTTAATTTTGTTATCCAAAAATATTTCACAGATTAACCACTATAACATACTTATGCATGAGGTAATGTCTGAGCTCCTTCAGCAATGGGGTGAATTTCTGGTCCAGATGAAGGTACATTAAAGCATGAGGCTCCAGACTTTCCAGAATCCATGGTGTATTCTGCAGCCAAGATCAGGATGGGGCCTTGCGATACCCACAACAGAGAAGTCTAAACTGAGGCATAGTGTTTTGCTGTACTGGTTATGAGTCAGGGTGTGAGCTGAGTCCTGCTAAACTCGATGAGAGGCAGTGGCTCTGTGGCCTCTCATACAGAATGTACCCCACTCTATGATCCTTAGGCTCCATCATCTCCTTCATTTCCCTTGCTTCCTTTTTTTTTTTCATTTTTTTTCTTTTTTCTTTTTTTTTTTTCCCTTTTTTTCCCTGTTTCCCTTGAGAACATCTAAAAACTTCTCCTTCCATAGATTTGTCTCCCTGAGGTTTTTGCCTGTAGGCCTGATCCTGAGCTCACAATGGCTGAGACCTCATAAATAATTCTGCATTCCAGACCTTAGTATGGGTTCCATCAAAGTACATGTAGCATTGTTGTGCAGGGCCTTGCTTTGTAAAAATGGGTTCAGTGGGTTCAGTAATTCAATTAAATCAATACGTATAAGAAGGGGGAAAACAAACCAAAAACAGATTTGCCCAATTGGACAGGGCTTTTGTTTGTGCCATAGTTTCTTCAAGGTGTGGGTGATGAATCATGACAAATTACTTTTCAGAGCTTTGCAGTCCATTCACTAATGAATTAATTTTACCAGGCACCAGCCATGATCCTCCCAGGGATGCTGCTGCTGCAGCCACAGCGAGCAGCATTTTGCTGTCAGTGCTGAGCGCTTCTTTTCACAGTGAAGCCCCTGAGTTCACCTAGGCTCCCCTGGGAATAGGCTCTGTGTTGAGACTTCTCCATGCAGGAACGAAGACAGAGTGTAACAGCGATGCCTGTCTGCTGTATGTCCCCCCAGATAAGATACCAACAGCCCAGATCAACCCTGTAGTCTGCACCAACTGACACCTCATCAAATTAACCATCTCTGTGTGCTACAGAGGTTGGGACAGGAGCACCTATTCCATTCAAAGGTGTGACGGTCCCTGGGGAGTGGACCAGTGGCCCTGTCTTCTGCAAGGGGACAAGCTCAGAAAAAGAGTGTGACATAAAGTGTGCAATGTTAGGCAACCCATGGAAGGCGAAGACATTTATCCTACCCCTCCAGTTGCTGAGCTTAGGTGAGACATGCCAGATATATGATGTGGGGAAAAACATGTCCTATGGGTGCTTGAAAGTAATTTTGCATAGGTGGTATTTAAGACTCTTAACTTGCAGCTTGTTAATAATGATCTTTGAAGGGAACCCTATAAACTGTCTCCCAGTTCTTGATGAGATGGAATAATTTATTACTTCAATTTCTCTGATTAATGTAAAATGTGTTTCAAATTTAGGTTTTACTTTAATATTTAAACTTCCCCATGAGTGGAGCTGCAGAAGGGCAGAGTGATTGAGTGCCCTCCCCTCCGAACTGCCGTGGCGTGTTCCCAGATCAGAGTGAGCTCTGCTAGAAAAGCTGATCTGCAATAAAAGCCATCGCTCACCAGCAAACCCAGGTTATTTCAGAACCCTGCCCTCTAAAAGGCAGGAACCTTGGTGCCAACCTGCCAGTAACGGTCAGGTTACCACAGCTCTGTTCATTCATGCCAGTGAAAATTATTATTATTTTCTTAATTTTAACCTGTGATCCAAGTTGGAAGTTCTCAAGAATGTCTTCCTCAAAAGAGCTGAAAAAAAGCCCAAAGCTTATGCTCTTCAGGGCAAATCACATTGCAGGGCTTTTTCTTAAGAAACAAATCAATTTTAAATAGGCTTTTTGCTATTCTTTTATATCATTGTTTTTCCAGAGCCAAAGTCAGAAAACAACATGGTGTTTTTTCTGGATCTTACACCATGTAGGAAATTGAACTCTGAGATTCAGTGTAGCTGTTCCTGAGCTGGTAAAACTTGTTACATTGCAGAGCAACTGAAGGATCCACCTGTTTTGTCTTGACCACTCAGCTTGCCCCTCTCTGGATCAAGAAGACATAGGAGAAATGCAATATTGGTACAGTGAAATGGAAGCTAAGCAATAATGTAATGTAGCAGTGCTGGGATGGAGAGCCCTTAAATAGCTGCGCTGATAAAAATCAGAGCCCAGACAAAAAGGAGACTGTTTTAGAGAGAATTATTTATTAGAAGATAGGAGGTTGTTACATATAGATTCTGTCCTGCAAAAGTGTCCTGGTCAAGGATATGTCAAGGAGACATTTAAACCTGTTAGAGCTGGCTCTGGTCTCCATTCAGAGATACTCAAGACACAGCAGAGCTCTGCCAGACCTGGCTCTCACACTGGTGCTCAGCTGGGGAGAGGCCTGGTGTATCATAGCATCCCTGAGCTCATTACACCGTCTTTATCCCACTGGAAAATCTGGCCTATGGGCTGGAAACCAGTGGTGGGGACACCAGACAGTGCTGCAGAAGGGGCACCATTCTTCCCTGGACTAACTTGGAGATAATTTCCCCAAGCAGAGAATTGTCTTCCGTCATGCCAGTGATGAACATGGCTGAGCAAGTGGCTACAGAGATAAAACCATGCTATGAGGTAGCATGAAGTACATTAAAACAACAACAACAACAAAATTTAAAAAAAAAAGCTCTCTTTGATACAGAGAAGAACTCTTGCCACCCTCCCTCACCCCCAAACCAGACAAAGCAGGCAATGTCCAAGCCCTATGCAGAGATGTCAGAGAAAGCAGTTCTGATAGGCAGATGACAAAAAGGCAGCAATTGTGCCTTATAATAGTTATGCTCCTAGCAGTTTTCTTCCCAGTTTTATGGGTGACCCATTTCCTTTCGTGTTGGCAGGTAGTAATTGTCAGCCTTTTGTAAAGTCTGAGCACAGACCCAGTGGTGGCTCTAGGCCCTTTGCCTGGTGAAGCCCAGGAGAATCAGAAAGCCACTGTGCCAGTTTTACACCTTCTGAGCCAAATCAGGCCCATGGTATGCTGCACAGAGCGTGGGCAGCATTGGTGGAGAGGCAGGAACAAAAGAAATGGCAGATGAAAGGCATCAGCCATCATACTGGCAATAACAGAAGGGCCTGAGACCAAGCCTTCTGCAGACAGTTGGTGGTGGCTCACAGACAGTACAAGGCTTGGTTTCATACCTTCCCCTGGGCTTTGTCTTTATTCCAGGCATGTATCCCATTGCACTTGGATAGGTACATGTGGCAGAGCAAAGTGGGCTGACCAGTGGCTATAAGTTTTTTTTTCATAGGCAGCTATCCATACCGGTGTTTTCCCAACATCTTGCAGGCTCCTAAATGAGGCTCTGACCCAAAAGTCCTCTGTCTAATGGTCTAATCTATGTGTGCTGAAGGAGACCAACAAATGTTCTGGAGTCTGTCTCCTAAATCTGGTCCACTGTTGAAGCCACAATCCTGTCTGCCCATGAGGTTTTGCTGACTGGGCCAGAATATCAACTTCACTATCTGCAAAGTGCAGATATTTTACTATATTTCTCCTTTTTAAATCCCAGTCTATGGCTCCAGAGACTACATGTAAAACTCTGGGCATAATCTCTCCCTTTGTCCATAGTGCACATCATTAGCTTCTGTGTACTATCAGGACACTATCAAGGGTATTTGCTTTCAGTCACAATATTCTGAAGGAAAAACTATAGTTGTAACAGGTTTGTCAAAAATGTAACACAATTGACAGAAACAGTGGTTTATGGCTCATCTATCACCATATCTCTCTTCTCATCTTTAACCCAAGAGTAGGATTTGCTAGTCTGATATATTAGAAACCCCTGAAACTAAGGTCTCGGCAGTGAATGCTTGCAGCTGATGCCAATGTCAATACAAAAGATGGGTCAGACTACAGACCTCAGAAGGGACAATGTGTGAGATGGGCATTTTTCTCTCACTGCAGATGACCTTCAAGGTTGGAGATACTGGGGATAGGGATTAACAAGGCTGCAGCTATAAAGCAAAGCAGCAGATCTCCTGTTATCTTTTAGGATAGTAAACATTTGGCATTGAACAATGTATCTAACTAGCTTTGGCACAAATATGCCTACTTTTAATCAGGTTTTATGTCCCTAAGGCACTCGGACTCCTTTTTTTGGAACATGCACCCCAATGAGTCTGATGTTATTAATTGGGAGGGTTAAGAAAAATGTTCCATGAGGACAAAGCACACTTAGTTGAAGAGAACAGATGCTCCAGACCCACTGACATCAAAACTCTTGGAGCAATCACAGGCCATATCTTCAATTTTTAATAACTTTAATGGAACTGGTTGTGCTTCCCTACTTTTTTCATGCTTCAGCAAAGGATGTGCTGAGGACCCTGACGTCCTCTGAAGGCCACAATGATGGTGGTGTTTGGTGGGTGCTGGAACCACTGCTCCCATATAGGACCCTAGCAAGCTGAAGCTCTTTGCCTACTGTTTGCCACAAAACAACAAATTTTGGGGTTTGATGTGAAACATAATCTCTTTTTCTTCTCTCACAGCCCTGACATTCATAGAAAACAATTGTTCTAGCTTGGTCTAATTCCAGTTTGGTCAAGAGAGGATGAGACTGACCACCAGGCAGTAGAATACCTGTTTTTAATGTCAGGCTGACAATTATAGGTAGCTTTTTGTCTCCGTTACCATTATTACCTTCCAGAACTGCTTCTTCAGCCACTCATGATAAGAACCTGTTCCTCCTAGGCCTTATTGAAACACCTTGATGAATGAAGTTCACCTGTCAGAGCTGTCTGAATGTTCTAGAAGAGGTCTCTTTGATATTTTTGGAGAGGAAAGTTAGGAGAGAGGGACATTTTCTCTCCAGAATGTGCACAAAGGCAGGAGGTATGGTAGCCCATTTCCTCAAGTCAAGACAAAGCTGGCCCCTGAGGTGAACTTGCAGTGGTACTCTGCAAGCTCTGAGCATCCTCCAGGTGCCACACTGGCATGAGCAATGCTTGACTTACCAGATATCGCTGGGTCCCCCCTGTACCGAGGGCTCTGGAAAGGTGAGCTGCGAGGTAGTGCTATGCAGCTGCACTGGGTAAGCCTAGCAAGAACAGACACAGAGAAGCTGGAGAAGCTCCAAGCAGAGGAGTGAAATTCACTGGGGCTCCAACGGCGCACAGCAGAGGGGCCCTTACCTAGACTTTGTGGCTCTTAATGGTCACTGTGTTTTGAGTATCTCAGCTGGGCACGTAAGACCAGTTCTAACAATATCCAAAAAGAAGAATATGTCCTCAATTGTATAGTGAATGGCATTACAAGGGGATAACCTGTTACATAGAAACATTTTGAACATTAATTACAATATCTTTTATAATTTTGTAATTTAACTGCCAACTTTTTTCCTTGAAATTAATCACTGATGTACATCATATAATCAAACAAGCTTTTTTAAAAAGTACATCTTAATATAAATAGTTTATTCAGTGCATGGTTGTGTATACAACAAATAATAAACAACTCTTTCGTACAAGGCAGAAAGCTGCCTGTACAGAACTATGTCAGTTTTGGAGCACAGAATCCAACGATGATTAATGCACAAAATCTTACACATCATGCAACTCTATGCCAATATTCCAACTTTCTCCCATGCAACAGACATGATGACCTAAATGGAAACCTAACTACATTTTTTAAACAATTGTTTCCAATAGCATGTATAAGTATATGTTGTTTAGGGGTAACCTGTCCTAACGCTTCCTCCTACACAATATTCACGTGCCCGTTACAGTGAAAGAAGGACTTTTACAAATAAGACGTTTCTTATAAAAAAATTAAGTCACCTTAATTCCACAGTTTCTGTCTTTAGAAAAGAAGCCACAACAATAGTTTAACATGACACACAAAATGGAATTAAGAGAAATCTACACTGGAGGATAATTTAATCCCTTTCTGTTAACTTTCACTTGGGATAACAAAACAACTCAAGTCCTACAGACTGGGGTTAGCACAAGAACTTTACCAGAAACTACAAATCTATAAAAATTTATATTTCATTGTGTTTAAAACCACAAGAACACTGTTTGCTTGAGCCTGAGACACCAACTCTCAGTTCCAACCCTGAATTTTTAATTTTTTTTAAAGACACAGCTTTAAAGACCCATTGGAGTTCAGAAATCAAAAAGTTGCGCTATTCCAAATTAAATGATATATTTTTTATCAAGCCTTAGATATAAAACGGTAAGCCAAGGAAACAACAGAGTTTACATATTTGTTTTTTGTTTGCCCCTATAAAACATATAAGCATTAAAATTTCCTTTGAAGAGCAAAAGTGGTCTTTTTCTTAGTTGGAAAGCAAATTCTTATCAGCAGTGAATGTTGTGAAATGTTTTTGTTTCGTATTCCACAAAGCATAGGAGAGAGAGAGAAGGGGGGGAGAGGGGAAGAGAGAAAGGAGAGAGAGAGAGAGAAAGGATATTTCTTGGACATTTCTTCTTCAAGATTTATTCCACAGTTATGTTTGCTGGCTATCCAAGTGCCTTGTGATATGCACAAGCATATTCTACATTATTGGGGTATATCCTTTGACAACCAGTAGATCTAATGGCTGATAAACGAGTGACCTATGCAAGTTCGGTGGCTTGTCCTGGGCAATTGAACGTTTGGATGAAAGACTGCTAGTAAGAATTCAACTGCATCCAGAGGTAAGGTTCTGTTTAGAGCACTTGGCTTGCCTTAACCTGGCTACGTTGACTCGTTTTGACTCATGGATTTACCCCCATTTAGCACTCCTGAAACACTTCTGCTCTTTGTTGGGGTCCCACTTCCAGATCTTGAGAACTCTGTGAGATCGTGGAGAGAAGGCTCTTTGTACATGGCCACTGCAAAGCAAAAGAGAGACAGAACATCAGCACACTTTACAGTCCCTTGGTACACTGTCCAGCTGTGAAAATCTGGATTTTTCGTTCAGCAATTAGCAATATAAGAAGTGACTTGAAGAAACACAGCAAGGAGACCACTTGGATTTCAAACACTGCCTTAGAAATTCCAAGCTCCTTTTCAAGGGGATGGCATTTTAGGGAGGAAAAACCATAACTCCCTCTCCCTCCCAGTTAAACCACCCACCTACACTCTGCACTTACAAAACTCTGCACTTACAAAACCCTGCAAGATAGATGTGAGCTGATATAAATCAGCATTTCCTTACTAATAGTGAAATAGCACTACCAAGAGCTGCTATTTGAAATGTTACTTGTATATAGTTCAGGCATGTGGGTGTGAAAGTAGATTTTCAGTCTTCTGTTTTCTTTGTGTTCACACACGTAAGTGAGGATCCAACTCAACATCAGTTGCATAAAACCTGTTCCTAAATGTAGGCTGCCAAGCTAGTCCAGCATTCACCCAGGACTACACACCTTTGAAATATCCTCTCTGACTTCAAAATAATACTGCCTTGAAAAGTTACTTAACAGTACAACCCAGAACTAGAGAGCTTCATTCCTTCTGAAGGAGAAGCATATGGAAGCTAGTTCTTCTGGAGAAAAGGAAGCATCTTCATACATCAACTGAGATCTCTATCTTTGCATTGACCAAAGTTATAGCCAAGTCTGAGCACCACACTGATTCAGATGCTTCAGTTAACTGGGATGACTCCATGTCCTGGCTTTTAGTACACAGCAGGATACATACGCCACATGCATTATTACCTTTAATGTCACATATTGATGCCACATTAATTACGGTTAAATAAGAACCACGCATTACAGATTTATCCCAAGCAAAAATAGACAAACACTCTGTAAGATAAAGCCGATTGGCAAGCTATACAGCAAGTCACTAAAGGCCTGTGAGCAGATGTTTGGGACTTTCCAGGTAAAGTCTTCATTACCTATAAGGGAGGCACTGGTTTTTGGGCACAAAGAAACTAATATATATATATTTGGTTAAATGAGAGAAAGGCAGAGGTAATATAGAGAAACATTAAAAAAAAAAAAAAAAAAAGCCAACTCTAGCTCTGGTTACACTGAGTATGTTAGCAGAATATTACACTCTTGTTAAATAGTTAGCTGTATCCTTCAAATACTTATGCAAAGGAATTAAACATCTCTGACACAATATAAAGTCAGTTCAGAAAGATTTTTGGGAGCAAACCCAAACAATTACCTTTTAATGGTTTTGGAAGAAAATGTGCTGCAGGTTTGTTTTTCTTCACGTGGTTTCCTTTCATTATTTCTCCTTCCTTGTTAAGACCCAAATACCAACCTCGTCCAGATTGTTGTTGTCTATAGATCATTGAAGAATATGTTACATAGTAGTTTTCAAATACTGATTCTTTGAACTTGCATTCAGGTGTAAAATGTTCCTGTAAGAAAATAAAAGATCAATATGTGCAATGCTGAATCTCCCATCAGTTAATGCAAAAACATCCAATATTCATTGCTTTTCTGACAGTTAAAAGACCTACCTCTCACCGTCTGCTATCCAATTTGGAATGCTCGCCCTAAAAGTACTAACAAAAGAGTAACACAATTTGAAATCCATGAAATGACACTGTGAGCAGCTCAAAGTAGCATAATAAAATCTTTTTGAGCAATGAGTAAAAAGTCTAAGTGAAAAATTATTGATTGATGCAACTAATGGCTATCAGGCAGACACAGCCCTGATGTCAGCCCCACAGGACCAGCTGCGGTCCAGCCTTGCAGATGAGAAGCGAGTCCACGTAATGCCTTTGTGCATTAACTGCTGGCCTTAAATGTTTAGGAAAAAAGTGCAATAAAAATTCAAAGCTGTGATGCCGTGAGTAAATGGTCTTTTACTAGCCCAGCAATATTAAGTTAGCTTATAACAGCTGCCTCTTTGCCTTAATCTATGCTCTTTCTCTGCCCAGTGCATCATCTGCTGAAAGCCCAGCTGTCAGAGACCCGCTGCAGACATCAGCTTCTGATCTGGGACTGGCAAGAGTTAACTGGTATTGCAGATGAAAGCATACAGGATCAAGCATTAGTCTTCATGATGAATTACACTGCTGCTTTCAAGGAGATGGTATTGAGCTAATAGTTAAAATAAAGAGCAGCAAACCAGGAGAAAGCCTTGTTCTTCATGCCAGTGGTGTGACTGGCTTTCATTGTACAATGGTCTTAACTCAGCTGACATCTTTTGGCACTGTTACCCAGGTTCAGAAAAGGATGCAGGCATGAAACATAAGTCTTGGATGGGTCCAAGACCAAAATGCTAGACCTTATAGAACTATTCAGCTGTTTCCCGAGGTCTCTATGCAAGATTGTGCTTGCATAATGATTGTAATTTTGAATTAAAAAAAAAAAAAAAAAGGAAACTAAGTGTCTCAGGAGCTTAAGATGTTCTTATTTAATTTCTGAATATTCCTATATGAGAATAAAGATGGTATTTAAAAACTAAACAAAACAACACAACACAACAAATACTGTACATTTTCTGCACATCTTTTCCCATTTTGTCTTCTCATAGGAGAAAGAAAAAACCTCCCATCCTCTGATTGGCATTTGCTTCAACAAAGAATGTGAAGTAAGAAATTTTCTTCCTTTTTCCTTCAAAGTAATTGGCTGTTATTTAGTTAATTGACGACTGGTTTCAATCGCTGTCAAACAGAGACAGAAACTATATGTTTGCCACATTTCTAAATAAAAGCCTTCTCTCACTGTACCCTGCCCAGTGCTAGCCATGTTAACAAAGACTATTGCCAGTGTATCATCCAATTAGCAGCAAAATAGAAAACTACAGTGCTCCCGATGGATGATTATGGTTTATGTACAGTAATTTGGAGCTCTTTCAGTTACAAAAGGCCTGCTTGTGTGCAGTGACAGTGGGTCAGATTGCAAATAGAACCACGTTTACTCCAGCTCTCTTAGGAAGAAAATTAACCTCAGTATGAGCAGCAGGAGCCAAGAGTCCCTTGAAGCAGTGAAGAAACAGAAATAAAGACACTAAAAAACTCTTTCAACCCTGATTTTCCCCTTGGCTGCAAGGCTTGCGATAACATGCCATGGTGGAACTCACTGCGAATGAGCTTGCAGCAGTGCCCGCGTACAGCCAGACATTGCCTGCTGGTGCCCACCAACCTGAGAGTCAGGCCCTGCAAGCATCATGGACAGCCGTCCTCTCCCTGCCTCAACCCACGATTCAGTGTCATGACCACAGTGGTTATTTGTCGTGGGGCACAGAAATAAAGACGCTTCTCAATAACATGTTCAGCAACTGAGTCACATTTCCTCTGTTTTTTCAGCATTGCAGCACATCACCTTCATTCATCTGACTGACGGGGCATGAGATCATGGGCTTTCATCTTGACTGCTACCTCCTTAATTTCTAGCCTATGGCTGTAGCTTCAAGAAGGTGCTGCATGGTGGAAAAGGCTTCCTCTGTGCCAAATAAATGGTGATCCCAAACGAGCTGTTTACAGAAGCTGAAGTGCTTTGCTTGCACCTGAATACTAAGCAGCTGCATACCTTTTGAAGGTGCTTGCTCCTACCCATCATCTGCCTTTAGTTTATACAACATGTCTTTACCACTCATTTAAACAAAAAAAAAAACAAACACAAAAACAAACAAAAAAAAGAGTGGGGAAGGGAAACTGCAGACAGAAGCTTTTATTAAGGAATACTAGCAGATATGCTCCTAATTTGAGGGTATTACAATTAAAGCATATTGTTCTGAGGTTGCCAACCTGATTGGGTATGGACCAGGCTTCTATTCCCACACTGGTTTAAAATACAGTGCAGAGCAGCAACTACAAAATGTCCATTATGTTGTCTTTGCTGGCAAATTCTTTGATAGTGCACTGAGAAAGCACGAAGTGAAGTTGGGAAATCTTAAAGAGAGCTTTAATTCTTGAGAGAATAAAAACTGATGTTTTCCAGCTCATATAATGAATGCTATGCAAAATTATAAATATAAATAATGGTTGAATTCTAAGGCCACAAGCAGGTACCAGCAGATGTAAGTGCATAGCGATAATATCGTCCCTGGTCTTTCCTGTCTTCCAGTTGTCCTGAAGGGAAGTCCATCTTTGCAGTGAAAATAATTTGAATGAGTTCTGAGGTGTCAAATGTTATGAATACATAGTTATACAAAACAGACGAGAAAGTAAGCATTTGTGTGAAATAGTATTTCAGTCGCAGCTTACTTCAGCAGTCAGGGATGACGGCACCTGCATGACAGTAAATTGCACTCACCCAAGCCCCTCGCACATTCACCCTTAACAACAAATGAATGAATAAATGAATAAATGAAAGTTAAAGAAAGTGCTGGATTCACTGTAGTCATGACTCAGCCATGCTTAAGGAAGCCGGAGGATGAAATGTCAGAAGCTGCTTCTTGGTTTTGAGCTGATCAGCTGAACAACTGAAATGTTTCTGCATGAGTAGATCTGCAGCTGCATTAGATATATGAAAATAATTAAAAAGGGGAATAATTTGGTGTATGATAATATAGTAAAAAAGGCATTGTAGCATATATTTAGAGTGACTGTATTTCCAGGCAGCTGACAAAATTATATCCAAAATAATCTGGTCTCTTCCTTACAAATACTGAGGTATAGGCCTACCGATGCCGAAAGCTAAACTACCGTAAAAGCAAACCTGGCATTCTTCCTGCTCTAATTGTGCAAAAGCCATGCTTCAAGCCAAACACCATCCAGATTATCAGCCATCACACCCATCTACACTAGGACTGAATATTAGTTATTATGGACCCCATATGATTGTAATGCAGGAATTCAGACTCCCCACAGACAGAAAATGGGAAATCTGCTTTAAAGAAAGGTATACAGTGTCTGCATGTCTGCAAAACTCTGTCATAGTATAGAAACCTCTCATCAGGATGGCTGCAGGCACAGTGTACAAAAGGAGGGCAAAGATGCTTACTCTCTGCTATTTATTGCATACCATATTTACATCATGGATAACCTTGGCAGGGGACATGACCAAATACTTTACAGAGCAGTAAGTTTAAGTCTTTAGGTCAATACTGTTTGTTAAATTTCTTTATATCACTACAAGCTGAATGTTTTGCAGCTTCCAACAGCAGTTGACCAGAACAATCAGAAATATTTACTAAGATAGATTTAGTGTTAGAGGCATGAAAAAAAAACCACCACAAACAATCAAAAACCACACACACAAAAAGCTCCAAAAAGATGAACAAAGAAGCAACAAAAGAGAAATTAACTTCGAAAACAATTTGGAAGAAGTATTGGGTACATGGGAAACCTGGAAAATGTTCTTACATATTGAGCATACATTCTTTGTAATCAATGATTTTGCTTATTGTGTTTATTGTTTATTTCCTCTACCTAGTGAAATTTTTTTTCTTCTTTTTTTTTTTTTTTTCCTCCATATCTTGATTTCTTTCAGGACTATAATGTAGCCCAAGATTCCATTCTATAATCATGAATTTTTGAAGGAGCCTCTTTAAGGCTCCAGAGTAGTGATTTTCTGCACCAGTGAGTCTGCCTTTTTATATTAACAGAGATTGATTTTCTCCATCTTGGCATGTGAAGTTCCAGGGTGTATCCTTTGGATCATCACCCTGTATTGTGCAGTGATATCAACTGTATAAGATGAGATCACTTCAACTTTTAGGTTATCAGAAATAACAGCTTTTAGGCCACCAATGTGAGAAATACCAGTTTCTTTTCTGAAGATACTGGTATTTTGTGAAGCCTCCAAAATCCATTGGCAATAGTGACTGAAACTTATAATTAGCTTGAAATAATTTATTCTGGATCAGATAATACAGTTCCCACGGATAGAATACAATGCCCCAACACTGTCTATTTTGCTTAAATTTACCTGTTTATCTGTTGTGAGGAATCTCTGTGCTTTGGGTGGGAGCGACTCACAATATATAAATATGTACTGGTCCTCCAGAACTATGATTAAAAAGTCTGTCTAACAATGCAGTTGTAATTTGTGGAAGAGTATAATTCCCCTTGAGTTCTCTGCAAGCTGAAGGCATGTGTACTGGCATTGTGACCATCCAGGAAAGAAAGTTAAATTCAAAATTATGTAGAAAGGGTATAGTAAATTCTTTCATTAGGAAACCTACTTGCTGGCAAGAGAGAGAGGAAGGCACAATTTTCCTAGGAGGTCATCCCAACCAAGTTCATAGCATGGAATTGTCTGGGATATGATCTTGAGGTCTCTTCCAACCTAGATAATTCTGTGATTCTGTGTGATTGCAATAAGCAGGAATTTATGAAGTGAAGCACAAATACTCAGTGGTGTGTAAATTTACTTAGGACAAAGCTTCCAGAAAGAGTAAAATGGAGCCCAAGGAATCAGCAGGATATCTAGCATCTCCAGAGTGGGATTTCAGGTTGTCACTAGGTATTCACTGAATCTATGAGAAAAGCATTGCAAAGATCCTGTAATTATTCCCTTGACACTGTTCCTTTGCACAGAAAATCAAATGCACAAACTTAGTGAAGAATGTACACAGTGAACTGAAGTAGAAAACATACTAATCACAAACACAGAGATTTGCAGGTTTGAGTTTTGTTCATTACTTTTTTACTAGTCTCATCAGTGATTCAGTTGTGAAAATTTGTCCAGGTCATTGTTGCCCAGATTTTTAAGTGGCATTTAGGCACATCAATAAATACCTATTTAAAGTTTGGTGCGTCACCACTCAGCATGGTCTGCCCATGCAAGGAATGTACTGCCTGATGACCCCAGGGAAAAGCCTCAATGACTGTAAAGAGTGCTGAAATTTAATTGAGACAGGAACGATGCATGATCATGGTACGGTTCCCCTGCCTTTTGGTGATGCTCCACTTCCACAGCTGTGTTGATTAACCAAAGCACTCCTTAACTGGGGCAAGAGAACTAATGCGTGATACATACAGAAAGATGACACTCTTCTGAATACTGCAGAGGAAATGAATCTCATTAAAGGAAGTCTACAGTGTCATTTAAATGTTCTGCAAGATGCCCAGGAGAATGCCTCACAGATGTCAAGCACAGGTCCCATTCCTAATCCAGTTCACAAAGTTATAAGACAATTTACATGGTACGAATAACAGAGAAGTTTTACTTTGTCCCTGTATGCTTTTCTGCATCAGTGCTGAGCTGTGCTGAATGTGTGTACCCCTAATGATCCTGGATGTGTGGTACAGGGAAATCTCTACAATTTCCCGAATGCTCTATAAATATTTTAAAATCTTCTAATGCTTGCATCTACTTTTTTTTTTTTTTTTTTTTTTTTAGTTTCTTTGGCTTTAGGGCACCAGACTTTTCAGTCCTAGTTGAAAAACTTTGTCATATTTAGTTTTGATTGCTTCACACACACAAAAGCCCTATTACTGCTTCAAAACCTATTTTAAAAAGTCTCTATGTAAGTTTGCATTTAAACCTTTAAACCTCTTCAGAAAGAGAACTCTATTGGCATAAGCATGGGTTGGGGTTTAAAAAGAATCGTATCTATATATACTAGAATAACTTTCTCAATGTATAGCCAAAGGCCGTATTGCATGATAAAGCCCATGATTTGCACAAGACTACCCTTCCATGCTTGGCCAAGGACTGGTGACCACCATTATATCTTCTGGGTGAGGTAATCCCCAGTTACTAAAAAATGTAGTATCCTGCATTTTTTTCCCTGTACATCCACACTCTGATCTCATATTCTTCTCTAGGTATGTGCCACTGATCATCTCTGGACTGCAAGCATGCTGGACCTTGAATCCAATCTGCTGCAGCTTCTCATGATTCCCCTCCCAAGTGACTGAGTCAAGCAGATGAACTAAAGTTTCCCAGCTGACCAAAGCACCACGAGCTACCCTCTGAGCATGTCAGCTGAAGAGCAAGAGCTGCACCAGTGTTACTGAAAATAGGGATGCTGGAAAAGATGTGCTCCCTGAAAACATGGTGGAAAAGATACTGCATGCTCAACCTGGACAAAAAATCAAGGTATCTTACATCATCAAAGACAGCTGAAGCAAGTGACTATACATAGTGCACAGGTAGCTGTATATAATGTATGGAGACACACAGCCCACTGAGGCTGGCGGTTCATTGCAGCAGACTTGAGATGGTGCCAATGGGTGAATCCTGCTCACATTCAAAGCCGGAGCAGAACTCCCTTTCCCTCTCAATAGGCTCAAGATTTTCCCCAGAGTACCTAGTCCTTCTCATCATTCTCCTAAGCTCATTATCTTCATTTCCTGCAGTAGCGGCTTCCACAGGTGAAGTCAGCAGCACAGAAAATGTATTAAAAATGTGTCTATTGTTGTTTTTTTATCATAAGCAAACTTTTTTTTTTTTTTTTTTAAATAGCTTTCTTCTCTCAGCTTTTAATTTTGGAAAACAGCACATAAAAGTACTCAGTGTGCCTCTTCTGTGCCGTTCATTACCTCACATTTCTCTATCATGCCTCTGCTTATTCATCTCTTGTCTTAACTAAGCGGACCTAATCTTTTCAAATCTCTCCTCATATGAAAGGTTCTCTGTGCCTCTAATCATTTTCATTACCCTTCACTGAATCCTTTCAATTTTTTTTTTCCAGGACTGAAACACAACATTTAAAAAGAGGCTGTACCACTGAGTTGTATAACAGAGGTAAGATATTTTCAGTCAGTTGTCTTATGACAAAGTAAAGTGGTCTTTGCTGTTCAGCCTCACCATTGTGCATTTGTACAAAAGTTCTCTATCTTTTAAGTTGTGTCTCTGATAAACACAGTTCAATTTTATGGTATTTCTGACATTTTGATCCACCAGTGTACCCGAGCTTAAAAATTAAAGAAATAGTGATAGAAGCAAAAGGCAGATAGGACAGCTTTTTTTTTCTTTTTTTCTAGACAGAAATAGAGCTGAAAGCCCCAAAGATGCTAAGCAACCTATTCTGTAGCACAGACATTATTATTACACAGATAACCTGCCAGCCATTGCAATCAGATTTCTAGCAGTTATAATTGACATCAAATTCTGGTATTGTCAAATCTCTCTGACACAGCTGTTGTGCAGAATGTCCTCAGCTTAAGTGTGTCATGCACTACTTAAAAAAAAAAAAAAGTCCAAGTTTAAAAATGCCTTTTAAAGTACTGGGACCATCTTCTGCTTCCACTTAAAGACAGCCCTGCATCCCACTTGTTTTAATGGCCAAGCCCTGAGCCTGCTGCCATTCGTCAAAGTTGGCCAGTGACCTGAACTGCAGAAGGTGAGCACTCAGAGAAGGCTGAGCCTCAGGAGACACCACAACTGCCTTGTTTTGAGTCAGCTGCTTATGGTTTGTTCTTCTGAGCTGCTAATTGCCTGCCTGTTCTCCCTTTGGGTTTGCATATCACTTCCTCATGAGGACACAGGGCCAGAGAAACCGTGCAAGGGTACTGTCTTCCACACAGCAGCAACAAGCTGCAGCGAGATGCAGCAAGGAAGAGCCTCTCCATCAGGCCGATGACATAGCATGAGGAGACATCGCTCTGTCACAGCCCAGCCATCTGCAAGTTGGCAAGAGCAGCTGAGAAAGAAAATGTGTTCCTGTCCCAGTAGTCCTTTTACCAAATTACTCTCGTATTCATCTACACGATCGCTGCCACTGGAGGAATCCTGTACTGCTGCTGCTGGGCCTGCAGAGAACAGGGCAGCAGCCAAGGGTTAATTTGCTCCTAGAACAAGGTGACTTGGCTAGCATTTGTTAAAATACCACCTGGGAGCATGGGGCAGGAAGGGCAGCATGACCTTCCTGCTGCCATATTGACTGCCTGAGCCGAACCATCCCAAAACACTGGTTTCAGTTACACAGGCTGTGAGGGGCTGCAGGGTACAAGCAACCTGGGGTGAGGCTCAGCAGGCAGCAGCAGCCACACTGGGGTACCTGTGACTTCAGCAGGATGGAAGGTCAGCAAAGCTGGAGCACTGCACCACCAAACACCCCCTTGGCACTCACATCCTTGATGAGCTCTTTGGAATTAGCAGCCTAATTAGAAGAGTGTGGGATTTACTGCTCTAGTCTAGATACAGGACATCAACGGCCCTGGGGTAAGGAGATGGAAGAGATCTCCTTCAGACCATCACTCATGAATGCATGCAGATTTATCTGAAAGTGCTGAAGAAACAATAATCTAATCAGTGTTTGCAGCAGGCTCTAAATCTGTTTGTTTAATTACAAGCTGGGACATGACCCTTTTAGCAGTGGATGCTCCTTGAATTCTGTGGGAAAAGGGAAAGAAATGAAAGGTTTCCCTTTTTAGGGAGCAGGGTAGCTGAGCAGAATAGGTGACAACGGGGAACGTTGTTTTTGTGGTAACCTGCAACCTGTCTGAAAGCCTGTCTGCACAGCCATTGGGACATACACTGGGCAAATCAGTGTGGAAGTGATCTCCTCATCCTCTGCTGCTCTTGTAAGGAATGATTCCTGGGCTTCTGATGGCAAGCTTATGGAGGCAGAGCTCTTCCCTCCACAGATTGGGCAGGCAGTGCTGCCAAACTCAGGCTCGGCTCAGCCAGGACCTCGCCATGCCACCACCCACCACCTTTGCTGACAGTGAAGAAAGATGGGACCTGCCCCTAAGGAAGCGCTTGGAGGCAGACACTGCTGAGTGAGCTCTTTTTCTGCACACCAGAAATTGCCTCTGCTCACTGACTGCGAGAAGCTGCAAGCAGAAGATAAATAACAGCAAGAGCTGCAGGAGAAGAAATAATGCCACATTACATCAAACAGGTCCCTGCTTTGCTGTCAGCTCAGAGTCTGTTCTGCACAAAAGGACAGGCTTGCCATTTGGCCTGTATATTTTATTAATGTGGCTGCATATTTATTGCACCATGGGTTAGCCGATCCTTTGGTGGTCAATACCACCCTTTTAGGCTGCAGTTCTCAGCAAAGGCATTTATCCTGGCTGCTGCTTTTCCCCACGTGCAGTCAGCAATGCTCTCAGGTGTCTGCCTGCAGGTGCTTTGCCCGCAGCAACATTGCCAAAGTTTGGAAACCCAGTGTAACTCTCCACAAAATACTGAATGCAGTGGAGTCTTTAGACTGGCATTATATGCTAAAAATAGTATTAATATCAGTCCAATAGGCCTATTATTTACATTTTTATTTTGCAAGGCATGACACTGCAGGCTTCATTTTAAACACAAATAATGTCAGTGCAGGGAAATAAGCAGGTCATTACACTGAACAAAATCAGAGATTCTTTCAGGACCTGATCCTAATCATAATATGACCAAGGGGAAGACTACCTATGACTTTATTGTATTAGCTTTCTAATGTTCATGTTCTCTGCTAATAAACATACACATCTTGATTTAAGAACTCAAGGTTATTTGATATTTTCACTCTTAATCCAGCTAACTTGCTTACATTAGGTACAAATGATAACGACTAAGCTTGAATACTGGGAATGTCACAGGTTCAAGGAGCTGGTTAGCTCTGCCTGGACCAAAGCAGCAGCTCTGTATGACCAAATGGTAATGTGACCTTTTCAAATGAGCTTGATTTGCTGCAATCCATTTATTCATGAATGCCATGGATGGATATTTTTCAAACCTCAGTAGTTTGACAGTGCCAGGGCATTACTGGCAGCCAAACCCTGCTTCTTGATATAGAGCAGCAATGCTCTTTGGAATTCCTCCGCCCTCTTGGCTCCCTAAATTATGCTATTGAACATATGCTGCTAAGAGGATCTCAGAGGGATGTTCGTATTAGACGGCAGGCTAATTGTGGGATTTGAGAGATTTCAGATGGCAAAAACTTTAAAAAGGAAGATTATCAAGGATTATACAAGAGAGATGAGATGTAAGACTGACCCTTTATCCAAGAGTTGATGCTGACTGAGAGAAAACATTTGTTTCAGCAGGTGAAGACCCCACCTAAGAAGGGACATATATGCAGAGAAAGAGGAGACTGGATTTCTCTCAGTAAATGATATATATGCCCTCCTTATAAGCAATACTTGGTGGCTCAGATTAATGGAAATTCTTATTCAGAGGAGTTTTCCAACACCCTACACATGAAAAACTGCAAGAGAGCATAGCCCAATCTCCTCTGCAGGCACAGGTAACAGAAGCACATGCATCTGTCTGTAATTTGGGTAAAGCATGTATTAGCATTTAAAACACTGCATTGCTCTAACAAGCAAGCTGGCACCACATAGCTTAGGAAATAGGAAGCTTCATGCTACAGTCAGTGCTCAAAGTGCAATGTGCTCTCAGCAAAGGCTGACTGCTTCCCTAGGGTGGCTCAGACAGTCCAGGAGGGCAGAAAATGCAGCTACTTTCATCTTCACCAGGCCCTCGGAAAGCAGCCCAGGCAGAGCACTGGGGAAACCTCTCTGCAAACATCATACAGGCCTAGGACAAAATAAAGTTTCTTCTCTTTTAAATTAAATAAATAAATAAATTAGTTGTTAGCCCTAAAAAAGGGAGCCCAGCAAGCTATATGATGCAGATAGAAACACTACTAATAACTCACTGCATGATACAGCAACAACTCCAACCACTCCCTCAGACAACTGTCCTCAGTGAAGTTAAGAATAGATTTTTTTTCCAGTAATTTATAGGACACTTTCTCTAAAACAAATGCACAGTCTAATAGGAAATCCTGTCCTTCCAAGAGACAGCCTGAGACAGAGCAGAGATAGGCTTATAGAGCTCCGCTTTCTCTCTCTCCTGAGTGGAGATACGGACTTTGCAAGGGTCTGTTATTTGGTTATGTCTCACTCCCTGCGGCCCCTGGGCTGTGTAACTGATTACTGGAGCCAGACTTTTGGGAGACATGCTGCTGCTGTTGTCTAAGTAGCAGAAGAGACGTGAGTCCCTGGTAAAGCACTTACAAGGCTGATTTAAACTTGGAAGGCACCCAGATGTCTCATGGAGGGGTGCAATTTAAAACCCTACCCAAAGATAGCCTTGACTACAATCACGAATTTCTGGGAAATCAGCATGGAACAGTTGCCTCATGAGCCAGGCCCTGCAGACCTATGTATTACAGCATTTCAAAAGGAGAGCTGGTGCCATTCTGAGTTACCTCACTGAGAAAAAAAAAATCAGCAAAACAATTAGTGCAAACTGTGACTAAATGAGCACTCCCTAGCTTACAGAGCTGTTGCATGCTTACAGAGCTGCACCAGCAAGTCTCTCAGACTTTCCAAGAATTCAAGTCCAGGAACATTTAACATCTCAGTCCCAATTTCTTCCAACAGTGTTACCTGTTGAACAGAAAGGGAGCTCTCTGAGAAGACATGGAAGGGCTGTAGTGCAGAGAAACCTTCATTCCTCAAATCATAAAAAAGTGAATAACATGAGTACCTTGATGTTAAAAACAAACTTTGTAGCTCTGCTACAGAAAGTCCTTTTAAGCACAGTAAAAACAAAGAACTTCTGGTTCTGAATTAGCAGATATTGTGCTTGCATTACAGCAAGGAGGAATCTGAAATTCAAGTCCAAGGCCTCTTCTGAAAACTACTACCATTTTCTCTTGAGAATCTAAACTGTCTTGGATCAGTTCTGCTTCTAAAATCTGGTTATCTATTTCCAAGTCAGCAAATAAAAGCTGGCTGCAGCCAGCCGAAGAGCAGAGATCAAAACCACCCTGCAATTGAAAACATAAAGGTGAGCTTGTCCATCAGAAAAGGTGTCTTCCAATTTACCCACCAGGTGATCTTCCATTTTACTGTCTAGGGCTACCCTTTGCTACTATAACCTAACAAGCAGAAAAAAAAAAAAAAAAAAAAAAAAAAAAAAAAAAAAGGCTGAGGGAAGAAAGTACAACAGGGCAAGGATTCAGGAGAAAGGCCGGTAAATTTGATCAGCTGCCTTCTGAAGTCTGCACAGGGAGTGTGTGCTGGCAAGTTGAGAAATGCAGTTTTCCTGCAGGCAAACAAGACTCTGTGGACATCCTTGGACTTTGAGGATTTTGTGGCTAAACCCATGATGAACAAATGGGGTAATTAATTTCCACTTAAATTCTACCACTGAAATAAAATAAAACTATCACTGAAATAAATGGGATTCATCTATCTGAATATCCCTGAGGATCTGAGTCTGAATCTGGACCTGCATGCGTGAGTCCAGGCTCTGATTCAGCTGTTCTACCTCAAGGCACATAAAAGCAACACCAAAGTTAAGAGCTGGGTCCGCCTGGGATTTTCCTGCCCTCAGTGAACACGATTGGGATAAATTAACCCTGTAGGGGATAATGAAGCGTGGATCTGCTATGTTCAACTCCCGCACCACAGATTCTGCTGTTAAAGGGTATTCTAAGTGAACTTAAATACAGAGTATTGAGTAGACAAGGATTTCAGTCTGCTGTCTTCCAAGCCAGGCTAAGTCTGCCTGAGATCAGCCCTTGCATCAGCAACATGACTACTGAAACAGAAAGAAATTACTTTGGGTACATCCAAGATACAGTTTTCACTTTGCAATATTTGCAGGGATTTCTTTCCCCTTTGCTGGAATAGCCCCCAAACCTTCCAGTATTATATTGGCAAAGCTCCCAATGAAATGAATCATGACTTTGCCTGAGTTAGTGCTCCAGGACTGAGCTTTGAATTATTAAAAGAGAATGATTTGTAAGAAATTATGTCAATTTTCAAAACAGCCCAGCAAATGTAGACAAAACCCGTTCTTTGAAACTAGTGGAAAGTATGTGGTTGAACTCCCAGTCTGCTTTGAAATCTCAGCACTAGCTTTTTAGTGAGAGGCAGTGCCTTTTAAATCTCATATTTTAATCATCATACTTCTTTACAATGCAGAACTCTTGCCTTGCTGCTTTGGTTCAAATACAACCTTCCCCATTATGAGCTTCACAGTGTAAGTGAGCCCCGTGTATCACAAGCTGATGCTCTCCTGGCAGGGAAGCTGCAGGCTTGCTCCTTTCCTTCCACTTGTAAAATAATCTGCTGTCAGAACAGGTATGTGCAACCTCCCAGAGTGACCTGGTGATATCCCTCCTTGTTCCTACATGGTACCTTGAGGGGAGTCAGATTGCACACCAAATATTGCTTTAGGCATTACATTTGCATTTTTAACATTAGCCCCAGATACAGCGGCATTTCTTGCTCATTGGGTAATGAACTCTTCCCCAGGTTTGGGGTTTCATCTGTGTCACCTGCACAGCCATGCAAGCTGGTGTTGCAGTGACCCACTCCTCATGCTTACTGAATTCAGCAACACCGTGCACGCACACACACAAAAATCTTGTCAGTGATTCCTAGACTTTTGTCATTTTTAATAACATTTTAATTATTTTAAAATAATATTTTTATAATTATTCATATCTGTCTTTGCATAGGATGTCTGAGTGCAGATTAATTGAGTGCACAGTTTAATGATTTTCTTTCTGTAAGAGGTAACTTTTTGGCTGCTGGCCTCGCTTCTTTTTAAGCTCAGTCTGATGAAATTCAGCTCTTTGCTTTACTGTATCTGATCACTGGATGTTTGTTGTTGAAAGGCAGCTTCTGTCAGAGCTGAAAACACAACCACACAACGACAGAATACAAACTGTAAAATGATGTGGAAGAAAAAGATTAATTTCTTCCCCTAGACATTGCAAAGCCATTACCTGTTTTTGAATGACATTTCCAATTCTACACTGGGAACTGCTAAAGCATTTACATAAGAATGCAAAAATGCACACATTATCACTGCAGGAAGCACTTAAAATTTAAGATAATTATATAGTATGGAAACGATTTCAAAGGACTCAAACAAAATAACAACTAATTCTAGAGAGTCACCCTTTAAGATGATTATTACTCTGCACTACTGCTGATCTCTCACTAAAAAAAATCCTTCTCTTTACAATTATATGCACATTATAAATTCCTACTTTGTTCCTCCACCATCAAGCTCCTACAGCTGCTGCTGAAAAATTTGCATTCTCTGAGAGCTTAACCAGATAGCTGAAATAGTCCCACTGTGAACAGAGGTACAACACAATGTTGTCATGCTCAGGAGCAAGATTCCTCCACCCTTGTCTTATGCCAGGCCCTCTGGTTTTATAGCCACTTGGGTTGAATCTGGGGCAGGAGCCTCAGGCAGGGGCATGGGCCACGGGGACACCAGCATGTCCTGTGTTGGAAAAGGGAGTTTGTGCCAACCCCACATGCTTGCAGATGCCAGCAGAGAGTTTGCAACAGGGATGTGTGGAGGATACCTCTGAGGGTATTTCTCTGCTGTATGATGAATGGCAGAATAAGGCATCCTATGCTGCAGTCTGCAGCACAGGTTGTACATACAATCTCTAGCCCTGTGTTTCGGAGAAGCCCTCTCTGCCATTCATCAGTGCTGCTGGGCATGCAGGGAGGGGAGCAGCCAGGAAACAGGGTGCTTACTCTTGCCTGTGCAAACCAATAGAAAGCAATAAAGATTTATTTGGTCAGCAGATTTCCAGACAGAAAATCACATCTGAGGAAACCTGGACTGAGTTCCAGGTAGAAGTACATAGAGGAAAACTTGCCTCACCAGCCTCTTTTCATCCTCAATTCTGACTCTCTCAAAGTCCATTTTCCATTCACTGTCGCTCTTGTTCCTGTTCCCTGCCCCATTGCTGCATTTCCTCTCTCTTTTCTTCTCCCACAGTGCCCCAGGGAAAAAAAAAAAAAAGAAAAAAAAAAAAGAAAAAGAGAGTGAGGGAGAAAAGAAAAAATCTGCCTACTTCTTTTGCTGAAGGCAAACTCAACTGTGGAAAACCTTATCTGCCAAACTCTAATGTATTTTTATCGGACATCTGCAAGGAGAGATTTAAAGGAACTCACGCCAAAGTCAAACACTTGCTTCCCTATTCCTCCATCCAGAAAGGGCAAAAGTCCATAATGAATTTAAAGCAGGTGAAAATCCCTTGTATCAGATACTATAGAGACACAAGGGACTTCCATCCCAAGACTCAATTCAGAAGTGTTTTCCAAGTCTAATTATTGGAAATAATTGCAGTGACAGAGATGAAGCTTCCCCACAAACTTCAGCCAGAAGGGGAAGACTGATAGGTTTTAAATCTAGTAGTTAAATTCTGACAAAGTGTGGAGCAGCTAAAAATAGTATCTGATGATGGGAAACATCATCCAACTTATTAATAGGTGGTGTTACCTGGGCTGCTGCTGACATTTCACATTACTGCCTCAAACAAACCAAAGCATTGGAGGTCAGAACAAACCAGGAGTGTTTGCTTGGCAATGGGGTTCCTGTGGAAATTTAATTAGGCTTGGACTAGAAAACATTTCATATGGTGCTGGCACAGATTCCCATCTATTAAATAACACTTTGTATGAGCAGAATGTCACTAGCTTTTGCAAAACGCCTTAGAGATATAGATATATGTGAAGCTTTATCTGATAACTGCGAGCAGGTCAACTTAGGGCAATACATATTCACAACAGTTATTTAAATCAGCCAGAATTACAGTTTTAATTTTTCATGGTCAGCTTGGCTAGCCTAGCTTTTGTACTCCTGAGACTATTTCTGGTAAAGGAAAAAAAAAAAAAGACGACTCATATGCTTCATGCACAGGCAGGGGTGGATGAAATGTTGTTTCCCTAAACACAGGAGTTTTTCTGGCCCCAACCCTTCCAAGCAGAAACTACTTTTCCTCCAGGTCACCCCCATGGAACCAATCCTGGTGCTTGTTCCAAGATGGCTGAGAGTGCCCTGCTGTCCCTTCTCACTGCACCTGGTTCTTCTGCTCTCATTTTGGTACAGAAACCATCACAAACAGCAGGCCCTGCCATGCCTGTACCCTGTGTGGCTCACTGCAATGGGCAGCAGTGTGGGCTGCTACCAGGGCAGACCTTGTTCCTGAAACACCTCACCCCACCAAGAGCACGATCATCCCTCACATGTTTCTCAGATGAGAGAAGGCAGGAGTTGGTTTATAAGCAAGCTTGCCAAACTTACTCTAAAATGAATTATAAAATTCTAGCTTAAACCAACCAGCTGCCTACCCAACATCCAGATTGTAAGGACCTGTCTAGACAGAGACGTAATTATACAGAAAACAAGACACTCTGTCTTTGCAGCAGAGCCCATCTTTCATGTATAGTTGTCACTGAAACTGTACTGTCTTTGGAAAAGACAAAGAGGTGTGCCAAGTGATGGTCTAGATGTCATCTTCTGGTGTGGACACAACCTCTCCTGACCTTTTGAATCAGACAGCACAGTTTGGGGTCAGGACACTGTAACTGCCTAATTCAAGCTTGCCACCTCCCAGTGTGGCCTTGGATAAATCTCTTCATAACAGCCTCATTTCTCATAGATGCACTTTGGGGAGCTACACATACTCAAATAAGCAAAGCACTATATCCAATTTCTTATTTTGTGAAACTACAGTGATGACAGACAGGAGTAATTAATGTTTGCACTCCATTGTGAAAATGAAGACTACTAAATAATATCTGAGTGTAATCACATGTACATAGTCGAAGTGTTCTTAAAGAAATGTTTTAAGAGATTCAACTTTCCTGCTCCCAGCAGCTGCAGCCAGTAGTGATACCAGCCAGGAATGGAAAGGGCTGAATTATTTCTGCCGACTGAAAATCAAATTGTTTTAAAAAATAATTCACATGATTTGTATCAGAAAAGCTTGTAATCTAAATATCAAATGATGTATAGCATTGGCCATCACTCTGAGTTTTAATATACCTCAAAAATACTATCATATATGGTTCAGTGATTTACTAATAAGCTTGTTTTACAACACAGGGAGAGATGCAATGCACAACCAGTTTAACCTACTTCCCAGTTCTAATTCTCTCCTACCAAAAAAACCCTCAAACACTTGGAATCAATTATTTTTAAAGACCTATCACAGCATTAGAGATCAAAACAACAGAATTAGAGATTTCTAACAGAAAGAAAGTAAATTATTTTTTTCAGACTAGATGAACAACAGTAAGGAATCTTGTTAGAATGGGGAACATACTACATAAAACACTTAAAACCCAGCAGACAATTCTTTGTATTTTCAACATCTTTAATGTCTCACATGTAACGTAATGCTTAACAAAAAGACAGCTGAAGTACATTTTTGTTTTCAGCAGCAGTTTCAGCACTTGAGATAAACTTCTGGAAACAATGCAGTGGTTTTTGAAAGTGATTCTCTTGGTTGGAGGCTCAGATCCCTGCTTCCTATCTTGCTGTTGGAAATGGGACTTGTCTGCCAGGAGCACCTCCCAGTGCTCTGATATTTCCTTATAAACCTTTTCATGAAGGAGGAAATGGAAACCAGGTTCTTACATGTTTTGCCCAAGGCTAACGAGGAATTTATCTCCCATTGTGGATTAAAACCCAAGAATGCTTCTTACATACCACTGCATTTAGCACAGACTTTTCCTGTCTCCCCTGACTCCACCAAGCTCTCCTGCTCATTGAGACAAAGATCAGTTTGCAGTGTCTTGGCCTACTGTTTTTTAAATCCACACAAAGTCCTCGTGCTCTCATTACTATATCTTTCTACATTGTTAAATCTGCTAAATCTTTTGCCTTTTTCTCTATACTTTTCCACACTCACCCTTGGTAGGATGCACACAGTATTTAGCTAGGACTAGAGGAACAGCATCCCATCTCCATTTCACCCAAGGGGTATGGACACATCTCCCTTTTACAAAGCCAAAGGCACAAGAGTAACTGAGGGTCCAAGCAACAGTCAAGGGCTGCAAGACTTCCCCTGGCAAATAGGAGACTCCCTCTGTATTTACATGTACATTGTACCTATGTTCACCTTTCCATCATACACTTACAGTTGAAACAGGTTCATTGTCCTCCAACTTCTTACAAAAGGTGTACAGGGGTATCTGTAAACTGACACTTCTGCAACTTGATAATCATTTCCTGGAGTGAGAGTTTCTGTAACAAGATCCTGCTGGCCTCTGCCTGGAAGAGGGCAGGGTAACAGTGGGATATGTTTTTACCTGATAAACCTTGTTTCACCAGAGGCTGGTGGCACTGTACTAACCTCTCAGTGTTGGCAAACCATTGGCATGGGCGCCTGGTTGACATCAAAAGAAAGCTGGCTACTCTAGCAGCAAGGTGCTACCATGGTGTTAAAAATTAATTAGGTACTGTGCCCTAGGAAGCTTCTCCATCCCTGGCCAAAAAGATTTCCTGATGGTCTGCTGGTGAGCACTATATACTAGTAAAACACGGTTAAAATGCATCAGCAACTGCATGCTGCACCAATTACAGTACATAGCTACAAGTAAGTCAAGTAAGTTATTTGTGTAATTACAAGGAACTGATCCCTGGGGGTCATGCAAATAATTCAGTATACTTGCTAAAAATGAGCTTTCTGAGAACATTTACACTGGTATAATCTGACGGGATGCAGAATTCTGGAAAATAAATGCCAAAGGGGATAAGAACACAGCTAAAGCTAATTTATTTTTTAAATCAAATGAATATTCACTGTCCCACCCCTCCCCCTGTATTTGCTCAGCTTTAATGAATAGATTCTTCTTCACTTTGGGCCTTTTCATTTTGGGGCATATATCCCAGGTTGGGGAATGTTATCCAAAGCTCAGCAGAACTGCCACAGAGTGAAGAGTAGCACACACAAAAGTAGCTACACCAGTTCGCACGCAGGAGACACTTTTGCCTATTACCTGAATGGACAGCCTTTTCAGGGAGCTTCTGAAAAAATAACCTCTGTTATTAATTTAATCACCTTGTGTCAAATGGTGGAGTGACAAGAGAGAAAATTTACCTCAGCAATAACTCAGCTCTAGAGGTATATACAGAGGAGAAGGAAATTGGGTTGTTGCGGATATAGCAATAACATCACAAAGCAAAATCCAATATTGGAAGAGATAAAAGTTTCCCATCCCAATATTCCTCAGTGACAAGTATGAAAGAGTATGCATAAGAACAAGGGAAAAAGATGAAAGATAGCACCAGAAAAAAAAAAAAAAAAAAAAAAAAAGCCTTTGTAAAGTGAGCTAACAGGTAATTAATCCCTCAAAAGCAAGAAGATCAGAGCATTTGGGAAACTGGCACAGATACCGATCTCAGTAACATATGCTTTGGGTTCTCCCCATTTCGTTTTGCTAAATGTTCTGCAAAGGTGATTCAGAGATCCCAGCCAAAGGGCTGCCTCCTCCCACCAGCTGAGCTCCCCCTGTTCCCAGCAACCCAGAAAAATAACAGGTAAATGGGGGCATGCGGGGTATCACGGTGGCAGTGATGCTGACAAGGCAAGCCAGAAACAGAATGTGTGTATCAGTGACATGTTTCCTAACAGCAATGACAGATTTTAATAAGCAAGTTATTCTTAAGTTTTGATTTGAGGTGTATATAATTAGGTAACGTGGGCGTTGAGTGATAAAACCCACAAGAAAAAACACAAATTAGAAACACTGGTTCTTTGAAACCACTGCCTATTTCACACTAAATGGCGTGACCTATTTTTATTGTATTATTGCATTTGAGAAATAAAAGGAAATAAAATTCTTTTTCATCTCTCTTTCAGCATCAGAAAGATATACCAGGAACAAATGACGCTGCTTTTCCCAAAACTGCTCTTTCAAAACTAAAGAACCATCATTTGTGGTTTGATTTCGTTAATTGTTAACTGACTTCTTCCCAGGAGCTGCAGGTGAGATCTGCCTCACCATTTCCAGGCTTTCTGGTGATCACTTTCACAAAACTAGCTACAAATATAGCTAACTATTGCCTTGCTTTGGATTTGAATAAGAGGGAAAAGTAGAAAAACTTTATGCTGATCAAAAGCAAGAGTTTACAATGAGTTTCAGGAGAATCCTTTTGAAGGAAATATGGCTGATGAAAAAAATAAGAGATTTTTTGATCTACTCTGAGCTTTTAAGCATTTGCATATGTGGCAGGATGTTTCATGTGCTGTAAATGAGAAATGCCTAGGACAACTTCCTATACAGATTTCAAAAAGTCATGCTTCTTACCATCATCACTAACAGGCTGAACATCAAGAATCAATAGAACTGTTGTACAAAATATGTACTTCTAAGTATCTCAGAAATGTAATCAATTTCCTTTTAAATAACCTAGACTATCTTTGTTAAATTTATAAAGTGAAGAACTCCAGTGTGCAGGACAGTGCCTCATTCTAATATCTTCACAGCCTTTCATATAGGCTTCCACTGGCCATTAATTTGTCCAAGAGAGCAAGTTATCTTTCAGCCACCTGAAAGTTATGTAAAGACACATCTTTATCTACAGTGCTTGTTATGAGCAAAAGCACAGTGTTATTATTTCCCAAGAAATCCAGTCCATCTACTGAGGATTACCAAAGATAGTTGCTGTTATTGAACGCAGTAGATCTATTATAGATCTTGGGAAACAATTTGTCCTTGACACACACCCCACACAAAAACACTGACCAACCTTATCCAAGTTCTGCTCAGTTTGTATTGTAGTTTCACCCCAAATACAAAAAATTAATTCCCAACCATGACGGCTCCAGATACCAGCAAGTGATTTTGACCCCAGGGCAGAAGCCAGCATGAGGCGCCTACTCAGCATGTGGCTTTCTGCTGCTGCCCTGTCCCCAGCCAGTGCAAAGCACACAAACCATGAGCTCCGATGAGAACTGCAGACCCCTTCATAGACTTCTCTGAAGCCCAAGTGCTCCACAAAAACTGCAAGAAAAAGCACACAAAAAAGTGCTCCATCCATTTTTGTGATGCCTCTATCAAATGATAAAAGATTATTAGAAATAATATAAATGAATTCAGTTCCATAGGAAACACCAAGCCACCACAAGCCACTACAAAATCTGTTCTTATTTCAAATCAACACAAAAATAAAATAAAATAAAATAAAATAAAATAAAATAAAATAAAATAAAATAAAATAAAATAAAATAAAATAAAATAAAAATAAAAACCCTTGATCTTTTCACAAAACCCATTATCAGAAATCATCTCTTGATGTTCTTAGAATTCTACACTCAGGGTATTATACAACATGAAAACTGAAATTATAATGTTGAAATGTTTTTAAGCCACAATACAATATTTTGAAAATCTTCCAACAGAAATTTTAGAAATCAAAACTTCCAGTTTTTCTTCTGAATTCAGTCATCTCTCTCCTACGATTTTTCTCCTGAAGTCTTTGGTTATCCTTATGGATGAACAGCCCTGTTTTATAGATGTTTTTATATAGCACCTCATACAGTGGATTCCTGATCCTGGTTCCTCAAGTATCTTCCTAAAGCTGTCATCTATTTGGATTTGTAAGAGCAGTGACTGATAAGAATAAGAAAATAAGACCATCATCAGCAAGAACTTAGTGGGAATGCTATACTTCTATACTTCCAAATGAAGGCTGTTTAGTCTCATCTGTTTCTTCCTGGCTAACAGTGAGCTGTAATACTTCTTGATTCTATCTTTCTTGTTTGGATTTTTTTTTTTCTTTGGGGGGGAGGGGGGGGAGAGGGTTGGGGGGAGAATGGGAGGGTGTGGATGGAAGCCTTTTATTTTTATGACCTGAAGAGCGAAGTATCAGTGTTTTCACTGACACCAAAGCTATGATGAACTCAAGAACAGGCATCTTTTCAAGTAACCTGCACTTTTTTTTTTCTTTTTGATTCACTGCCTTTATATTTAACAAACAATTGCAGCTGTCTTGAAGGGAGAAGACCCTTTTGACCCACTTGGGAACCTACTGCGTGCAAGCATTGGGCTTAAACTTCTGCCATATCCAGACAGCCTTCGTGACCTTCGCTGCTACTCCTGCAAGATGCACGCTGATGGGATGATGTTGTAAGTAAGCCAGGAGCAGTAGGAAATGGACTGCTAAGTGTCTCATTAAGTTCCATTAAGGGGTCTAACCACTACCCTTGGATTGACTGTCAGAAGGAAAACATCTGTTTTATTTAATGATTTCTACTGATGCTATTCAGATCCCAGCAAGTTTGAAATGTTGCCCCTTATGCACTTACAGCACATTTCCCAATTAAGAGTGGAACGGTTCTTTTTATAGTAAAGTGGGAGATTTGCAGTAACTACTGTAACTCAATTGTAGGGAAGATCTCAGGGGCTTGATTAACTTTTTTATTGCAAAAATCAATCCTGGTAAGAAAAAGCAAAGTCTTAACTCCTACAGCTGTTTACCAGATGAGCTCTGTCCTAGGTATGACTTTTCTCAGTCCCACCCACAGCACATCACTAGAAGATTACAAGATGTGTCCAGAGGCTCTGTGTACATAAATGGAGCCACTTATAATCATAACTGGGGAAAAAAAGGACAGATTCGCCAAATTACTTGCAAAGAGACTGACCTAGAAGGGTAAATATATTGTTTGATATGCAGGAAGCTGTTTCCCACAGAAAAACACTTTCAGGGAGGTTGTAACTTAACCCTTATCACTTTTCAACATAAAAAGAAAATGCTTTTACCAGCTAATGGTTCAGAAAAGTGCATGAGTGGTTAGTGTAACCACAACAACATATTCAGAAGCAGTGAGACAGAAAATGAAATGCCTGATAAGCATATGTTGTTTTTAATAAAGAAAGATTTAGTGCTAAGTGGACCACACCGTCTCCGAGGTTACGCTGCAAAAGCAGAACATGGGAGGACTCAGCACCCTCAGAAAACGCTGCTGTGGCCTGGCTCCACCACCAACCACTGCGCAGCCTTAGTCTTCAGCCCCTATGCCTCTTATCGCCTGGTGCAAAACAGAGCTGAAAATTTGCCTTTCTCTGCCTTGCCTCTGTTAAACCGCTCAGTTCTCACAGACACAGCACGAGGCCATACCATGTTCAGTGCTTAATGTACTCTCCAGGTATTTAGGACTAAGATTATTTAGTCAGAACAGAGATTTGGAAAGACAATTTTGTTCTGGCCTTGCATTAATTGTTTATTTATTACATGGTTATGCTGGATATGTGTTATCAATATTCAGGTCTGAATGCACCAGGTGCAGACATACTGAGGACTGACGGCAATTTATTTTGTAAATGGCTGAGATAAGATTGGAGGAGAAGGAATACCTTCCAGGTGGCTGTGTGTCTCAAGCACAATGAATCAGCCAGCAGCACTTAAAAATTGTTCCCATGTAATTCTGGAGAAGGGCAGGAGGCTGGCCCTCACCACCCAGCCACTCAGCTGCTCCCCACTGCCAGCAAGTGACATGCACACAAGGTGGATTTCAAGTGCTCTTTACCTTACCTGAAGTCCATTTTAGGCAGGGCCTAGAAACACCCTGTTTACAGGGTACCCTGCAGTTGAAATAAACAAACAAACACCTTTCTTGCTACAGTGAAACCTTGTTAGACCCTGGTCATGGCACTATTCCTATGACACCACATCTAAACCTGGAGAGAATAAATTGGTGGGCAGCCTAGGCCAGCCTAAGGTTGTCTGGTCATGATGTAAGACCCTCCTGCATTTGTCTTTCATTCTTCTGCCTGGAATAGGTGGGTAAGGTTCCCACTCGGTGCAAACTATAAGCAGGCAATATCTAGAGTCATAATCAGTTCCCATGGCAAGTGAGACCTCAAATGGACCTGAGTCAACACAACCACTCCAGGAACAGCCAGGCAACGAAGCAGCTCCTTGTCCTGGTTCAACTACCACCAACCTACTTACACACTTCCCTGGAGCACAATTTGTTCCTCCTTGGGAATGGTTATAAGAAACATAAAGCTCAGCTAAAAGTTTGTATGGGAATAAGAATCCAGCTCCAGAGCAATCATTACTACATCTCCAATGAGCCTAATGAGCAGCAGAATACAAACAGCAACAAGCATAGACGACCAAATTCACAAAGAAAAAAATAAGTTGCCTCATTTAAATGAGCAAATCACCGTTATTAAATTACCGCCTTCTCTAGATCGTGCTGAGCTGATTTAACCACACCAAAATATGCACTGTTAATATAACAGGAATAAGTATAGGACTTTAATAAATGCTGGGTTTCTCTGAGCACTCATATCCAGCTGAGAAATGCTAACTCATGTTTTTGCTTAACCTTGACGCTTGGACCCCACTTTTAAGGAAGCACAAAAGCAACTGCTGCTTTCACAAAATCAACTCTCTGATAAGGTGTTGCAGGTTCCACACCATTTCCTGAAGGGGAGATAAGAAGAGAACATGGATACCTCACATCCTGAGCAATGGTGACTCAGAAAATCCATCACTGGGTACAAAACATACAGATTCAGGCAAACTCTTCAGTTGATACTGAAAAGTAGTTCTAGGTGGGGGAGGAAAAGTATTTTAAAGTCCCACGTAAACAAAGAACAAGATGTACTTAAAAATATGTATTGAATCTATGGTTATGTCTTTGTCTTCCTTGATTTAAGGGCTAGACTCCTGCAGCTCAATAGGTCAGACCAGAGGTCAGACAAAAGCACTCTGGGCTCTAACAGTAGCTTCTGCAAGATGCTAGATCATCATTAGTGGAGTCACACCAAGGACCAGAGGAATGTTACCCATGCTGACAAGGACACAGACCCACAAAGAGATTAACCCTGCTGGCACCAATGGCACAGCATGTGTGGAGGTCACTAGGACATGTCGGGGACAACCTACATGTCTGAGTGCTCCCACGTAGACAAGCATTGTAAGGGACTCCCTGCTTCTGCCTACTTAGAGCACTCATTCTTCATGGTGGGACCAGAGGGACTGGGTGTACAGAGCTCTGGAAATCAGGATGTAAACTCTGTGAGGGCTTGGAGATGCAGGGCCTGCCTTCAGTGCAAGATTCAGCTGAGGAGAGCCAGGTCTCAGCTGCCTGGGGCATTGCAAGCTGTCCACAGCATCCCTACCTCCTAGTTGCTGCTTCCCATCTGATAAGAAATAACAGCGATTTTCCTGCAGGTTTTAAAACTTCTTCATTGAAAACTACAAAATTGGAGACAAAAAACTTCTGAAGTCTAAATCGTCTGCTACCATGGACTAACACTTTGTAAAACTCATAAAAGGAACCTCACCATCAAATGTGACTTGGTTCACCTGCAGAGCTGAGGGGAAGGCTTGATTGTGTACCTAATTTAGGTTGTTGGAAACGGTTTCTATGCTAACCTTCTATAATCATATTTCACACCACTTTGACAATTTTAAATGTTTTCCACTGCTGCTAATACTTTCCTTCTTGCTGTTAAGCTCCATGCAAAAATTTCTGGAAAATTTCAACATGCACATCCAAATCATATTCAAATTGAGAAAAATCTGAAAAGTGTGCATTTCTCCACATAAAACCACCCCCAAAATATCTTCCTTTGCTTTCAACGTTACTGAATGTTGTAAATTCATGAAGACAATAGGAAACGTGGGCCCATTTAGTCCTCATTACTAATGTCTGCATTTGCCTGGCTCATCCATGCAGACTTCATGTGTCAAAGGGTTCAGCTTGCAGTATATAAACTTTCCCCACCACTAATTAATTTTCCCCAACACTTATTTTCCCGTGTAATCTGCTACATGAAAAACAAAACACACTGCCACCAAACAAGCAAACAAAAAACATATACTTTGCCCAGTTACACTTAGTTAAGAATAATCCAATCTCAGAGATGATGGATGACTTGTACGATCTTTAATATACTTGCCCTATATCATATTTTATATGATTTTTCTTTCTTCCTTTCCCTATTTCTGCTGCTTTCTTTATTCCTTTCTCTCTCCTCTCTTATAGCCTGGCTTTCCCCTTTGGCAATTCTCTGCTCTGTTTCCAGCCTTATTTTTATCAGTGGATTTTTCCATGGCTCATTTTTTTGGCCCCTTGAAGAAAATAAAAAACCTAATCCCCATGTCCCAGTAAGACTTTCAGACTTTGAAAGCTCCTACACCTTTGGTAGAAAGCAGCACACTTTTTGCCCATTTTCAAACATTTTCTTTAACAAGCTGAATTTCAAATAAAAATGACATTGCTTAAATGATACCGTTTCTTTCTCACACAGATCATCACATTCCTAAGCAGTTCATCCAAAGACTTTGCAAAGGCAATTCAAGCACATCCTTTTACCTGGGGGGAAAGGACTGTTATTTCCCAGAGGCAAACACACTCTGATGTTAATTTAAACAAAGCTCATGAAAAAGTGTGCTCTGCTGTGAACGGTTAAGGATCACTAGGGCCTATACCGCACAAGATTCCTAGCTATAGCAATTTAAAATTACCCCAGATATGTATGATTTGAGTTGAATATGCATTGCCTGCCACCCCCACTCAAACTGAAAATGGATTTCTTTGTAATAAATGCCTGTTTTATGTGGAGTGATTGGAAAAGAAAAGCCCTTCCTAGCTATGGTGTTCTCTAAAGCAAGTGGGAGGAGAAAAATGTTTGTAAACTTCTTTTGTTCCAAAATGTGAAATGCATTTTGTCATTTTTATATTCAAACCTTCGTATGGGCTCTGGCAAGTTTTGAACCAGGCCTGTAAAAGGTTCTGTGAGCAAGAGGGAGTGGGTAATGAGAATGAAATCTACCCTCCCTGTTGAAGAGGTGGGGAAGAAGAAATGTGATAAATAAAAGATTGAGAAAAGTGGACACAAAAAGACAGGAAGTGAAGGGGAAGTGACAGGATGAGCTAGTTGTAGTAAAAATTGTCAAGGTATTAAAAAAAAAAAAAAAAAAAAAAAAAAAAGCAATAACCAATAACTTAAGGAATAACTGCAGCATGCTGAGGGGATCCACCTCATGCCTGTGGAAACTGGTAGACAGCAGGATCCCCTGCCATCTCAAAATCCCTCCAAAGCCAGCAGGAGGAGATCCTCACCTTGCCCCTACTGTTGGTGGTATGATATTTTAGCTTGCTTAACCAGCCCTTGGAAAACTCCACATGCAGTTTCTTCTTTCAGCTGGCTTTAGGTTTTCTCCTGAGTTAACAAGAAACAATTTCTGAGCTACTCATCTAGAAAAGTGCCCTTCTTCAAAGGCCTTTCCAGGTGCAATGTGCAAACAGTAGCACATCCAGGTTCCTTCTTTAGATCTCACTTGCCTGCATCCAAGGACTGCTCCTGGGAGCTGTTTCAAAGGCTGAAGTGTCAGCATCAGAAAGAAGAGAGGTGTGTGGGTGTGAAGTTACTAAATGCAAAACTGTCACTCTCCTTTCATTTACAACCCTGAATATGCATGCGTGCAAAAATGTAGGGCTTACATTAAAGTTTTTACTCTTGGAGCAGAAAATATCAAGGAAAAATAGACTAAAAGATAAAACGTGGCTATTCAGGTTAGAATTCTCTCTCAACTAATTTTTTTATTTTTCATCAATTATTATTTTTGTTAATAAACTCTGCCCAATTATTTCTATTAATAAACTACCCTGAATTAGACTCTTTTATCACCCCAGGGAAGGGCACCATCACAGATGCACACAACTGTGTTGCTGACTGGTCAATGCCAGTAACCAACAGCAGATGGATTTCCGTAGTCTCTAACCCAGCTAAAAGCTATGTGGAGAATTACCGTTGCCCAGCCCAGGAGGGCACCAGCTTAAAAAGCACCCAGGGGTGAGAGTGGGGATTGGTGGGGTACTCACAGTAAAGGTTGCTGTCTGGGCTCTGCCTTGAGAGGGACCAGGAGCTCCCTGGGTGGAAAGGATACCTGAACAGCAGCTGATGGGTTGAACCCATGCACACAGCAGGAGTCCTGCACCACAGGAACAAGGACACAGGGCTGTCTTGGCCAGGCACTCAGTGCCTGCACAAGTGGGACACAGGTAAAGCACCAGTGCCCAGTGCCTGGACATCTTTAATGGATGCTCCCATCGTTTAAATGGGACCTGTTACTTTTCAAGTTGCATTTACTTAACCTCCAGACACTTTGCAAAGTGCCTAAACTTGCAGCCGTTTTCCAAATGAGGCAGGTGTTGAGTGCACTAGCAAGGATGCTGGGGAGGACAAAGGAAGATACAGAATTTCAGTGGAAAATGAATTTCATTTAGAGCAGACATGTGCCTCCTGGTACCCAAAGCTGGTGCTAAACAAATTGTGTGTGTGCACCTTGATGAATTACGTTAGTGCACCTGGATTAGCAAAGAAGCACTCGCTGTAACCAACAGACTAATGGTATCAGCCAAATCCCTGAAAGACAAAATATACATGGGGTAAAAGGTTCTTTTTTTTTTCTTCTGCAATATATTACATTATGAAAGGATTCCTCAGATGAGATTTTCAGTATAATGCAATAAGCTATGTGTGGGGGATGGAAATTAATGAGAATGTCTTTCCTTTACAAAGAAATATAGTACTTTGATTGATCTGCTAGGTTTAAAGGAAAAGCTAAGCATTTAAAACACACACACGCACCCACATAAATGCATGCTTTCCTGCTTTCCAACACTGGAAACAGAAATGTTGAGGGTTGATGCTGTCCTATCGGCTTTCTGCTTGTAGGACCAGGACCACAGCTGGGAAGATAAAGCACACAAATTGACTAAGGAATGATTTTGTGATTAAAATCCTTGCCTGTCTTAAACAAATCTTTGCTTGTAACTGGTGTTTAGCCTTTGCAGTAGTGGTGAATATTACTAAAATGCTCCTACAATCGTTGATTAGAGACATTGCTTTAACCCTGTTTTTCTGCCTTCTTTACCCATTACAAGCAACAATACAGATAAGTAGAGCTCTGGCACGACATACAGCCAAAGGAGTGAACAAATTCCAAATGTATCAGCTAGCTGCATGCAGATTGCGTATTAAATACTGTTGTACAGCAGGTAGCATGGCCAAGAACACAGATTTACAGCATTCCTGGCCTCTGGACAAACTCAGCATCTCAATGGGACTTCTCTGTCTCTTTCCCTTCTCCTTATGGGATCCTACAACACCACGGATCTACCACAGACACTGCTTTTGGTTATAATCTCAGCAGCATCCAACGAACCAGAGATAGCCAATGAACCAATACCTTAACAACTACAGGGCAGTTGATCTATGGCAGAGGTTCAAAAACTGGCAGTTTCACGTGCAGTCTCTTGAATGAATCCTGTCTTCCCAGGGATGGGTTGAGCTTTGGCACATTCTTTGGCACATTCTCTGGCACCTGATAAAGCCTAAACATTGATGGAGATCTCCCCAACCCAAGGACATTCCTGCTTCCCCAGTGGCTTCCCTCAGGTTGTATAAGAGCTGAGTTATGCTGCAGCCTTTCTTTCATCAGGGCCTTGAGCACCTCAGCTTTCTCTTTCTTACCCAACTCCCTTGTTTCATGACACTTGCAGGTATGTAATATCTCTGAAAACTGCATCCAGTATGCTGTATTTTGTCAGAGTTGCCTAATGGATTTTAAAGTTATTAGGAACAGAGTGAGATATATCATCTGATGGCCAGGCAGGCACATAAACAGAGAATGTACACTTAAGGAAACAAGGTCACCTTGTCTTGATATACGTCTCTCTGACACATTTTGTAAGAAACTAATCTTAAACAAATTCTCCCAAACACCTTAATTTCCTTTTGGTTGTTTGATGCTATGTTGCTGTAGCTATATTAACTTTCAGGCAAAAAGAAACAGGAAATAAGAAATGAAGAAAATAGAAGATGAAAGAAGAACATGCCAGTTTTTATCTAGCTGTTACATGTGCTTACATAAAACCATAAATTTTGACTCGCCGTGGTTTGTTCATCATCTCTAATTTCATTCTATACTAATTATTAAATGCACGCACTCTCTAAGGCTCTATAACACACTTTTCACTGTTGTAGTACAGTAAAATATCGTAACATGTTATTTGTTTGTAACAGGATTAATTACAACTGAAACTTGTACTCTCCAGATATCATCTCAAAGATTTCTCTAACAGAGCACTTCATAGGAAAAACACCTTGTTTAAGGGGAGAAAAGTACATGAGCGGGTGAATATAAATTGGCATCCAATCAGATGTCCTTGAGGTCCTATCACCAACCCCACAAATAAAATAAAAGCAATAGCTTTTGAAATGTAAATATTCAGTGTTTGCTGCCTATCAAATCTTCTTGGGATTATTATACTGAATTTGGAGGAGAGTCAGTAGAACTAATAGCAAAGCTTATCCAAACCAAGCAAACATGATTTTAATAAGGCACGAAAATACCAATAGGTATTCAACTAATATCCACCCTCTTTGCACTGACAGTGTGGAGCATATACATGGGTCTCCAGTTCTCTCGTTTCATCTCTACCAGTCTTCCTGACTGTGCCAGATACACCAATTTGGCAGAGGGCTGGACTCAGACACTTAATTTTTCTTCTACTAATGTGCACACACAGGGAGAAAAATCACTTTTGAGTAACCAAGATCTTAAGAAAAGTTTCTTGCTCCACTCCACAACGATAATACCTCTACTGTGTACTGACCACTGCGCCCTAAGGAGGTATTTCCTTTTTCTCCAGGCTTATTTGACTGTACTTTGAACTGTTAATATGTTTGCATGTCAAGGTGTTTGCTAATTGGGATACCAGGAAATGCTAAGGACAAAAGGTTTATAGTATCATCTGGAAAGAGGTTAGCTTGAGGAGTAATGGACCTTCCCAGAGCTGCTACTATTGGAAAAGGGCTACAGTGGCTGCTGAGTGTCCATCTCTATTTCAATTGTAAACGCCTTTCATTTATTACTTGACCATAAAAATAAACCCTTGGTAGGACTTGGCAGGCAAGGTTATAGGTTTGGAATGGGGTTGATGCATTCTGGATGTTTGACTGAATAATTCCTTTGACTATAACTCACAAAAAAAGCTTGTGTTTTCTAAGCAGAAATACAATTCTTTACTCTGAATATCCCAATTAACTCAACAAATACAGACTGATCATAAGATCATCTTTCTCATAAGAATATCTACTGAACTAGCATTGTCTGTGCACATAACTCTTTAAGCAGAATGCTCAACCTCTAACTAGCCATCACAAAGTATTGTTCACGCATGATTTTTCAGAGATGATACAATTAACCTCACGAGCACAACTGCCTCCTACTAAAATGTATAGACAAATGTGAGCAATGACTGACATCTCCATATGAGCAGAAAGGGAGTCAAGGGAGGGTTTAATGGATCAATAAGAAGAAATAAGTCTTGAATTGAAATTAAACACATGCTATGAAGTTAAAACACAGAGCTAGCTTTGTGATGATTTCTACCTGAAAAGGGAAAAGAAAAAAAAAAAAAAAGTCAGCTGTCTTAGACCTAGGTAGAGCCTGAGCCAAAAGTTTTGCATTTGGAGAGAGTGAGACTTGGAGAAAAGCCCTGAGTTCTGGCACATTGCTGTTTCTATTGTCTGTTGGTTGGAGGATTTCCATACACCCCCAACCCCCCCACCACAAATTCCAGGTTCCAGTATATAACTGCACAGAGCTTCATAACCAGGCTTAAAGGTTTCAGTGTTGTCTATCCATTTATTCTGTCTATATGGAGGATTTATTTCTTATCTTTTGTATACCAGATATATTCCTTATCATTATGGTAAGAAACCAAATGTTTGTAGCATCAGGTTGGTAGTGATGCAAAAATATTATTAGAAGTCTTTTTCCAAAGAAATAAGATTTTATCAGGCTTTCAGGACATTAAAGATTACAGAGAAATTATTTTTTTTTCTCTATAGCTTTGAGAACACACTTTTCAGGAATGTGGAAGGAAAATACATTTATGCATTTCTTAAGTAGTCAGTACAAACTCATAAACTCTCTACTCATATGAGCAATTCGGGCTATTTACATATCCCCTGTATTTACTGCTGTCCTACAGAAACAGAAACTCTTGTAACTTTAATTTGAAATGTTTTGATTTGGGTTTGAGAACTACATAAACTGTAAAACCTCACAAGACTAACAGATTTTTAAATACGCCAAAGTAGTCAAAGGACCAAACTCTTCTTGTGTGTGTAGCCTTGCTGCAGCTGACACAGTGATGTGAGTATAGGGAAGGTACAACCTAAGGCACAGTGACCGAGACACAGAAAACATTCAATTTTAGGTTACTCAACATTTGTTTTAAGAAAGAGCAGAGATGTTCAAATTTGTTTGTTTTTTTTTTTTTTTTTTTTTTTTAGCAGTCTCCAGACAGCTCAGTCTAATGACGACTTAATTTTACCAACATTGTTTGACTCAGAAAAAAATACAGATTGGATAATTGCTATATCAAAAAGTAAAGGCCATAACTATCACAATTACCCACATTAACTCCAATTGTTTCACAAGAGAAGCAACTGCTGTTTAGGAGACTATCAGAGCCAGAGGGAAACAAAACTGCTCAACAAAGGAAAGCTTCAAATTAATTGAGAGGGGAAAAAAAATGCTTGTCGTCTTTGACTGTCATTCCCGTGATAATAAAGTGAAGGTCTGCAAGTGCAGAGGGTGTGCCATTGAGTAGTAAATGAAGCTTCATCCTATGATTCATAGCCAAGCCAGGGTGACTGTACCCATCTCCTTGGTTAACAGCACAAAATTAGGTTGATTTCCTTAGTACAAGTAGACTTAAGCCACATGCAGACCAAGCCTATCCCCTTTCTCAGCTGAAAACTTCAAAATCTTCAGGGACTCATCATGGAGAAATCACTGTATGGCCTCTAAAATTAACATTTCCTAGGCTTTGTGATAGAGATGGTGCCCTTAGTGCTACCAAATCAATGCTGTTCAGGAAGATACATTATCAGTGCAATGGCTATTGGCTGATGAGCAAGGAATACCTTCTCCTTGACATTGCTGCTGGACATAATTTTATGAAGAAAAATATTATTTGTAATTTACTTGTAAGAGCTAACAGGTATTTATAATATATGCTTGCCTTTCTGGCATTGTTCCTATAAGCATAGCTAAAGGAAATACAAACTATTACTGCAACAATTAGAGAATACAGGTGTTTTGGTATCTCACTGATTAGAAATGCAAATTTGAGAAACAATTAACTAATGTGGTAGAAATCAACAATTTGTGTAAAGCTCTTTCATGCCTTTACTATCACAGCTGCAACAAATTCCCCAAGAAAAAGCCTAAGGATGTCTGTGTCCAATTCTACTGCCCATGAAGCAAGCTCCCAGCGTCTCTGCCTAGAATACACATTAAATCTCTGTTTCACACAGAGGCAGCTAAAGCATAAATTAAAGTCAAGATTTTCCAAAATAGGTGAGTGAAGTTGGCTATGCTTTCATGACATCCAAAAGTGGTAACATGCGTGCAATCATCCTTGCTTTTCTGTGATACCAGGAACACAGTGCCTTCCACAGAAAGGTGTGAGAAGAAAGGATGCTATGCTGTTAGACCTTATCACAGTGCTCCTGGTGCCATGATAACACTACAGAAAGAGCCGCCTGCAAACATTCCCCTGCACCTGGAGAAATAGAGATTTTTGTATGGTCTACCAGAAAATGTTAAGCCCTAAAAAGAAATGTGCAAAAATCTGAAGCCTTTGAAGAGAGGTATTTTTTATGAACAACACACCTGGTTCTGCACTTGCCAAACCTATATCATAGGAAACCTTCACATTTCAGCTACTATACAAGTGTGAATGAAGACCTGGACATCCAGTTCCAGAGAAGGTTCCAAGCCAAGGGCTCAAATCTTGCACACAAAACCGAATAAACCCTCTGGACATCCAGGGGTGGAGTCTTCTGCTCTCCCTATTCTCGATGACTACTCCAGACCTTGGGATCTGACTCCAAGCAAAGAGGGACTTATTTTAGTCATTGAGGTTCACTGGCCTCCTAAATGCTTTGTTCATGTTTTTAAATCTCACAAATTTCATATTGAAAATCAATTGCTGTCCTGTCTAAATCCTGCAAATCTAACTCAAATATTTTTTTTTTCCCCTCTGGCAGGCATTCAATTAGTCTGCTTGCTTGAGTAAGGATTACTTATATGAGAAAAAGTTTGTGATATGAAGCTCATTAAACTCTTGGTTCATCAGGTGAAGGGAAAAGATCTGCATTTCAAAATGTGTCTATTCCTCTTATTAGATTTTCTTTGGCTTTTTGTTCTGTTTCAGATCATTCACTTATTTACTCTGAGCTTATTGTGCCTTCTGTCAGTGTCAATATGGCTCAGCTGGCAGCAGATGCTCCTCTAGATTTGAGCACACTGGTGTGAAATAACGAGAATGGAATGAGAATTGATGTGAACCTTTGCCTCAAATCTGAACTGAAGCCTTAATATTTATGAAACTCTGCTTCTAATTTGTCTACCAGCTCCAAGAGATATAATCATTTTAAAAATACAGTAGGTCTTGCAGATTAGTTGGAATCTGCTCACACTGGAAGCGTAAGAAATAGTCCACTCTTTCCAGTTTGCTAGGACCACTTTGATAAAACATTGAGTCCTGGAGTTGTCATTCAAGGAAACATCCTCCCAAACCCTTTGAGGTTTGTCCTTTCCCAGTCCACTCAATTGCAAGGTCCCACTAATACTCGGGTTCAAGAGGAATGCTTCTGTTTCATAGTAGCCTTTTATTTACATCTGAGAATGCTCTGGAGATAAGGATGGAAGGTCTAAATTGCATATGCATTCATGTGAAAGTCAATGTCATCAGAGCAAGGAAAGGAGAAGATGCCTCGTAAAGCAGACAGCCTCTTGTGATGTGTTTCTGAATCTAGCTCTGTATGTTTTTTTAGATACCTCCCAAGGTTTTAAATAACAGAACTTTACTTCACCAATTATTATGCTTGTTTTGCCCAGCTCTCCAGTGGATTTAATTTTGGAACCATACTGCTCAATATTCACTGCTGTTTGGGCAAAATTACAAAAGTTAAAAACAATATGATACACCTGTAGCATCCACACAAAATAAAATATGAAAGGTCTTATCTGTTCAATTATTTAAAGCATCCAATCTGCTGTAAAGGCTATTATATTGGCATTATATCCAAAGGTTCCCTATTCCATTCTAAATTTCACATTCCTTTGTTAATCCTAGATTGCATAATGAAAGCAGCTCAATACAGAAATTAAGTTTCTTGATTTGATTTTTATAGAACAGATTTTTCTTCTTCCCCAGACCCTTTCTAGCTTTTCCATCCAGGAACTCAGCAGGCCTCCCTCCAAGAAGTAGCTTATATTTTAAAAAGTTGGTTTCTGAAACAAACTTCAAGGACGTAACTTAAGTATGACAAATACTGTGTTGAATTTCACCCTGACTAGCTTCTGTATCACACACAATGCATATCCTGCTTTCTAGGATTTGTACAGGCTCCTTTCTTTTTGGTACCAAGAAGGCATACCATGAGGATGACATTCATGCTCTCTGCAACTGAAGCAATGGAGTTTCCCTTGGAAACCTCTTTCAGTTGTGCTGCAGCTCCCAAAAGCAATCATAAATCCCAGAATCTTGGGGATTATGACACAATTTTTTTCTTGCCCATTGAATCCCCATCAGGTTTGCTCATATATGCTTCAAAAGATGCCTTTTGATTGACAACACTGCAGATGCAATTTGAACTTTCAGAGTCAAGCTGGATTCTCAGTTTTCGCACCTCATCACTTGCAATAAAAGTTCTGCCAGGAAAAGGATGCTTTCAGTGGGTTTGCAAGGATGTAAATCAGCAGAAAGCAGTAAACACTTCTCTCAAGGCTGCCAAGTAGGAGCAGAACTGAATTCACTTCCTCTTAGCACTGTCGCAACTGCAGGACTACATGAAGATAAAAAGACACAAAAATGTGTTTAATAAAGTCACTCTGAATACCCCCACACAACAGATATGCTTAGGATGCTAGCATGGTTTTGATGGAGAGTTGTTTTGGGATCTGAACTGCCCTTTACTTACTGATAGCCCAGGAGCTCCCAAATTTTGTTTGCGCTAGCACTGCTGCAACAGCTAACGCTCCCAGCCATGCCCTGGACTATGCTTACATGGGAGCAGACACACACAGGAACAGACGCAGGAACAAGCACATTTCTGTCTTCTCATTCAGCTTTTCTGACAGCCCACCATACCCCAAGACCCATGCTCTCATCACAACCACATTTTTCCTGCATATCCTTAACTGGTGTTACCCAGTACTTCAGAAGATTTCTTATCAGAGCACCAGCAGCCTCTGCAAAATGAACCCATTTGAATGAAGAAAATCAAGAAAATGTCAACGGGACCCAGAGGCAGGACAAACCAGTAAGATTTCAACTTTCTCAGGCTGTACTCATAGCCAGACAACCCTCCAGCCAAACAGCCTCTCTCTGTTCTTGGCTAACTGCGGGTGCCTATGTAAAAGTATGAGAAAAAGGGAATTTCATTTCAGGATTTTCTCAGCACACTTCCCCAGCCTCAGCTGAGCTATGATTCAGGACATTGCTAAGTCAAACATGATATCATTGTATTTTGCAGTGCTTAACTTTCAGGAATTTGCCTGACTTTTTGAGCTCACTTAAACGATATCATCCTTGGCATCCCATTTGCCCTGAGTTCCCATCCTAGCACCTGCTGAGCAAAGGCACCTTCTGCAGATTTAATAAGCGTGATCCTTGATTAGTTTCTATGGAAGTTCTGAGTTTGTTTTCCAGTAGGTGATCTGAAAGGTTCTTCTTGTTGGTTTGGAGAGTCCTCGGAGTCTGCCTTTGATTGCTCCAGCATCCTTGTTCAGATGTTCATCTTCTGACAGGCTCTGGCAGCGAGCAGCAGGCTGCCGGCGAGGTGAGCCATTTCCTCGGCCAGTCAGGGAGCCAGTGCAATGAGGCAGAAGCTCTGCTGAGTCACCGTGACAAGAGCTGCTCATTAGCTCGATCTGCAGCACGAGAGGGAGGGAAGCCCTTCTGGGCAGGAGATGGGAAGGCAGACAGCCTTCTAGAGGGAAAGTCAAGCATAGGAGAGAGGCTGCTATTTCATAGTGGTGTTTTCTTTTAATTAAGCCATGTTCTAAGAAAGCAGGTAAATTCGGAAACATCTCATTTCTGATTTTGAGGTGTTTTTTTTTTTTTTTTCATACGTATCAGGGGAAAAATGCAGCAATCCAGAACCCCACATAAATATTAATATACATATTTTGCTGGCAAACTGCAAAAGAGCCAAACCCTGGCAGGGAGTAGGCACACGTCACCCTACAGGCACCTATGCCGCCGGCACAGACAGCCCAGTCACAAACTGCAGCATTCACAGCAAATTTAGAAGAGAAAAGCCGCATTTCTCTTGTTGGCTCTGCTGAATCATAGCAACATAACCCGTCCTTTGGTGATCTGAATACGCGCTCCAAACTGAACACGCTGAGAACCTGGCAGTGCTCTTTTTCTCACACTTTGCAACTCACGCCGTCTGCTCAAGCCCTTATCTACTTACAACGCTTGCTTGCCAAACATGCTTTGCAACGTGACAGCAAGGAGTTGTGAGTAGCTTCAAGTCCTGGTACTCGGTATTCCTCGTGTGCTGGAGTGGGGCCGAACCACACTGCTGGAAGCTAGCTGTGTGCAATCCAGGTGCCAAACTACCTAGCTCGGGTCCAGCTTCAAGTTTTGCCAATGTTTTTTTTTGTTTGTTTGATGCCAGTTTTGTGCCACTGTCACCTCAGCAAGCAGTGAAATGAACTGAAAAAATGGGCCTCAGGGGCCACGTTGCCATTGCAGCCCCATTGCTGAGATTGCTGAGTCCCAAACCTCTGCTTTGAGCAACATCCAAAGTCTGAGTTTTCAAAAGACTTTCAATCTCTTGAGGACTTTGACATTGATTAACAAATGACTGACAAAGAGAGAGTAGATGCACTTTTAGTCTTTTATCTACTTCACCTGTATGTTATTTCTCTCACTGGACATTGAACCTGTTCTCGTAAAAATAACAATTTCTCTGCTGATTTTTAACAGCCACTCTGTTAGGAAACCATTGCACAGGCATCTAACAGCAGGCTGGTAAGGTCTGTGCAGCACGCAGTCCTGAAGCATCATTTTCTCATGCTTGGTCTCCTCTTATGATGCCTCATCTTAGAAGGTGCTGAGCACCCTCAGCTCCCACCACCCGCAGCGAGGACTGGATGCACAGCAGCACCTCTGTGGATTTCAGACACCTTGGGGATGACTTGTAAAGAAAAGCAGCATAATAGCTTCAATAATTTCAGCTTGCTGAATCTCTTAATAATTCTCTCATGGGAAGGCAATGCCTCCACCCTTCGCAGCTGGAAACGGCAGGCAGTCTGTCTCCTGAAATTTGGAATCATGCTGATTCCAGCAGAAGCAAGCACCCGAACAAAACAGCTACATGCAGTCCGGCTCACAACCAACCCCAAAACCTCACAGTCAGATTTTCTGGTAACGGGCTGAGCCTGTGAGCACAGCCTGGGCCAGGCAGCAGCCATCAGGGCAGCATTAGCAGGAGTGGTGATGCTGCACGGAGACCGACCAAGGCTTCTCTCTGGCCAGCATCCATCTCTGTGCTGTAACACTGCTGTAGGACTGAACCAAAGTGCAGATGGTTTGCATCTGCTGAGCTGCTGGCATAATTTAAAGCTGTGTCTGTAGCTGAAGGTGTCAGAAAATGTTTATCAGTATGGGCTGGTCCTGCAGTGCCCAAGAGCCTCCAGAGAACATGCTCCTGTCTCGGCGCTGATCCCACACCTCTCCTGCCCACTTCCCACTTTGCCTTATGGCAGGGGGCAGCCAGGGCTGTCAGCACGATGCCTCACATCCTCGTTGTTAGGACGTTGCCTGTTTCTCCAGCACAAAGCAAAGTGTTGTGATGAAAAGAAAAACATGCTGCAGCTGCATCTAAGACCCTATCACTGAAGAGAATGAACTATATTAAGGTATAGTTGGTACTTAAGCATTCGTGGTAAAAAATGATTTACACTGACATGCAAATTTAACTAGATGAAGCTTTTGATTATTTCCCCTATCTCTTGGTTTGTGCTATTTCTCTGAGGTGGTGAAATGTTCTTTGCCAGTAATTCATTATAAATGCCCCAGCCATTCCCATTTGCTACAGAAGGTCACTGATGCTCTGCTCAGTATTAAAATATGCACAAACTTCTCTTCTCTCCAATTCACCAAAACAATTCTTGAAGCACTCTGAGAATTTAATCATGTTTCACATTTTTTGGCTATAATCAACATGCACAATTCATACTGTATTTAATTTATGTGCAGGTAACAAACATATGACAATCTATTTATCATCAGAGGACAATGATAGCTGAATGCTGTCTTAGAGTAAATTATGTGTATAATGCCCTGCGCATAATTTTAT